TCTCTCAAGTGGTCTCCCGCCGTCACATTTATCCCAGCGAACACCAACCAATTTGCATACGCCCAAGTTCTCCTCTCGCCAATCCTCGCGGCTACGAGATCGCGTTTCCATAAGTTCGACTCACCGTAATGGTGGTGTTTCTTTCTTCGGACCAATTACTGCCCTACACGCCAGACACAAACGAACCCTCTTATGCCGAGAACTGAGGTTAGTCTCATTTTCATGTCCACACTCCCCCTGGTCTCAAGATCACACAAATGTGGCATTGCGGACGCGGTCGTTTGTTGCGGGCACTCCTACGAAGGGGGATTGTCTGGACTTCTTCATCGGGACTCTCAGAAGGGGCGTCAGAACTATCAGCATCAGCGTCGGGATCCGCAGTCAAACCATCAGGCCCGAGGGGCATAGGTCGGATCCACAGTTCATCGCTGGATGATTCACCACTGCTGCTACTAGTCAACTGGTTCGTATTTAGGGCGGGCGGACATCCTTCACATGGCGTGGAGTACCATCGACCAGCACTGCTTGCTCATTGACGATGCCGGTGATTCGTTTTCTTTGAAAGCTGGTGGTGCACCGGCTATTGGGAGGCTTCACCCAGACGGTGTCCCCTACCTTATACGGCCCTCGTGTTTCCCGCCGATCAGGCAGACACGCGTCAATGCCCTTGTTGCCGCACTTGGTAGCGATGGATTGCATTGGCGGGTGCGCTTTGCAGCAGTCACGGCATCCTTTGGTGTTGCATTGTATCTATAGACCGCCTCCGCTATCGTGCACTGCTTCCTGGCCGCGATCCTCTTCACGCTTCGGTGGCACCGCTCTGCTATGCCGTTGCCACTCGGCACATATGCACAGCGGTGTCTGAGCCGGATCCCCCACTCGTCTACGAAACGTCTAAACTCCCCGCTGCAGAAGGCCGTGTCGTTATCCGTAAGGATCTCTTCAGGCGGCCCCCTTTCATAAAATATGGACTCCAATTCTCGGATGACACTGGATGAGTCCTGTCTTACTAATGGGCGCCAGATTGCGAACCTCGTCGGTCCGCAATCTATCAGTGTGAGGAAATGCTGGCTGCCGTAATGGGTTATGTCCATACCCAGTCGGCCCCAAGTCGTGTCTACCCCCAGCCGACCCTTCCGCCATTTAGCTGGGGCGGGGTCGATTGACTGGCATGTTTGGCATTCCTTCACCACCGCTCTGACTTCACTTTTGGACACTGACGGATTGGTCAACTGTACAAAATAGCATGTCCGTCTCACTCCGGGGTGCCCACTGTTGTGGTGTATCTCCTTGATTTTGTCCGCCGCCTTAACAGAGGCAGCACATAGTAACGGTACTGGCTCAGTTTCTTTCTTCATGGCGCCATACCATCTCTGTGGCACACGAGTGAGCCTATCAGCAAGGTTGCAGTTTGAGGTGACAAGCACCGCATCCATAGATAGGTTGTACTCTGTTACCAGCTTTCTTATGGTCTCCAACCTCCGTCTGATCAGCATCTCGCTAGCCGCCTTTGGTACGCACCCTGGCCTTGCCTGTCAGTGTGTCCGATATCCAGTGGTACACACATAACGAATCAGTGTGTATGTGTAATTTCTTAACTTTCCACTGGAGTGCCAGGTTGATGCCTTTTATCACCGCATCGAGCTCTGCCAGGTTGATATGAGCAGCGTCATTCACCGGTCGCAACCAGCAGGCGTCCTCAATCGCAGCCCCATTCTTCTCCAACAGCACACCAATCGCCAGAGAGCTCGCATCCACCCACACGTTCAGTTCGTCTCCCTGCACGCACCAGTCTCCTTTGGCGGGGTCATCCTGCTTTACTCTTGCGATGGTCTCCTTCACCATGCGAACCAACAGATCGTCCGTTGTTTCATCGTCCCAGCCTTTGGTGACTGCGCTTGCCCTTCTTTTTATGGTGCCTGTTGCCACACGAGTCCATCCACACACTGGTAGATGCCCCACAAGTCTTCCACACAGGGGAGAATATAGCTCGCCTCGTGAAGACATCGGGTACTTCAGGAACTGCAGTTCCGCGCCCCCATTTTAAGGTCTCTCGCTCCTGTTGAACGTTCAGGCCCAAGACACGGGCACCATCCTCCAAACGTTCTGGGTCCTTACAAGTCAGACCAAACTCAGCCAGTTTGGACCTCACGCGTGATGACGACACAACGTCTTCGTTCACATATATATCATCAAGGTACGCCGATGTCCCCTCTTTTTATTGTTTCTTCCTGTGACAACACAGCGTTGACGATGGTCTTCATTATTTGGGGTGCCACGTTCAGCCCGAAGCCCAGCCTAGTAAGGCAGTACCTCCTGCCGGCAAACACCACCGTCTGAAATGGCCACATCGCCTCGCTGACCCGGACCTGCAGGTACGCTTTTCTTAGATCCAGCAGGGACACATTGGAACCCTGCTGGCGCCATTCTCGTAGCTTGCTGGCACAAACGTCAGCATCTGCCGTGAACGCATCAACATGCGCGTTTAGTTCGCGGTAGTCCATCACTGGCCTCACCTTTGCTTTGTTGTGCTGAGCAACCGCCATCAGCGGGATCAGGCCTTTGGGAGGTCCAAGTTTCTCATAGGGGTAAGGAATCAACCAGCCATCCTTGATCCATTCACGGAGCTCCCCTTCGTATGCAGGCCTTATTTGATCGGGCACATGGTACTCGGCTACCTCGTTCCGCAGTTTGGCTGGTTCCTGGTTTTCCGACCACCTCCATGAGGTGGTCCAAGTCTTCTGCTGCTGGTCAAATTCGACACTAAAGTCCGGCTGGTCGATCCTCAGAGCTGCGCACACTGGGGCCCTCTCCTGAAACTGTACTGCCCCCGTCTGCGTTATGTGAACACCACCTAAAGCTCTGATGGCATCATAGCCTAGAAGCAGGTCAAAACTCAGTGGTTTTTCGAACACTACTAGCGCCTCGACATCGGCCGAGTTTCCAGTTTTTGTACGGATGTTCACCGCGCCTACCCCGCAACACCTTTGTGTTTCTCCACTGATGGTGGTCACCCTGACACTCTTCTTCTTCCAAGTGCGGCAGAGGTCCGCGCACACTATGGTGCAGGAGCAACCGGAATCGAGAAGTGCTGAGCACAATGTCTCATTAATGTAGACCTGGATGATCGGAAGCGCCTCATCTAATTTCTGCTTGGGGAAGAGGTCGACGCTGGCACCTTGTCCCCGGCCCCGTTTCCCCACACAATCCCGGACCAAATGTCCAGTCTCATTACACCGGTAGCAGCGAACAGCTGTCAGTCGCCTCCTGCAGTTCCTCGCAATGTGGCCCTGGCCACCGCACCTATAACATACGACCCCCCACTACGGGGCTGGGCCCCTGAAACGGTCTATCATCACTGGGCGTGGACTGTGCAGCGGCGACTACCGGTTCTCTCACCTCAGAGCTGTCTTTCATCACGGTCCTGGCCCGGTCTACCAGGTCATTAAGGGACAACGAGTCTATGCTTAAGCTCACTCGCAGGAGTTGCTTTGCTCGGTTGGGAGCCCTGCCAGAAATTTGTATGCCAAGGCCCGCTCGGGCAGTCCACCAAACAACACCGTCAACTTCGTCAGCTCGGCCAGATACACGTCGACAGTTTCGCCTGGAAGTAAAGTTCTTGCCTCGAATTGTTCCCATGCAGTGGCGGGGTCGATAGCAAACGCCTTGTATAGTGCTGCCTTGATTCTCTTATAATCTTGTTTTTCCTCAGCACTGAGCTGTTGATACACAGCGAAAGCCCCGCCAGACAGCCGCAGAGGAATCACATGTTCAATGTTCTTTATGCCAGACAAGAGGCAATGCAATTCCACTTTTTTCCACCCAGTCAAGTACCGGGGTTGAGCCATCGAACTCCGGAATCAATTTCAGGTCGAATCTGTCCCCATTATGCCGAAATAGCTTGTCGCAAAATTCGGTCCAAACAATAGGAAGGGAACAGGTTGGTCTCGTAAAAAATTAGGTCCAAACAATAGGACGGGAACGGTTGGCCCGGCACCGCCTACTTCCGAAACACTCCTCAGCTTAACGACAGCTACAATCCAGCTACAACAACTCCACAGATCTTTGCACTCAAATGTTCCAACACCGCCTCGTAGTTCGCTACACACAACTCTCTCGAGTGGTCTCCCGCCGTCACATTTATCCCAGCGAACACCAACCAATTTGCATACGCCCAAGTTCTCCTCTCGCCAATCCTCGCGGCTACGAGATCGCGTTTCCATAAGTTCCGACTCACCGTAATGGTGGTGTTTCTTTCTTCGGACCAATTACTGCCCTACACGCCAGACACAAACGAACCCTCTTATGCCGAGAACTGAGGTTAGTCTCATTTTCATGTCCACACATTCTTAGCAGTACAGAACTTGAGTATTGCTGTAAAGACATTTAGCTGAATATTACTTGGCATAATTAAAAACAACAGCAAATATATATATATATATATATATATATATATAATAAAAAATAAATGAAATAGGTAAACAACTGATTTCACTCCCACTCTTCAACATTTTTTAATCAGGAGTATAAAGGGTTAAATACAATAAATTTAAATTTGCAAATTTGATGGGGAATACTAAAGACTAATTATAGCAAGCCCTAGTAAACAATCACACTGTTTACACAGAGAAGGTTTACAAGACTTCATATACATTGTCTCCAGTACTCTTAAGTGTAAAGAGTGTGACTGGAACAAAACAGTAAACCAGTCAACACTAACTTCAGCTGCACACTTTCTGTTCTTTCTAAGGTGCTCACTAATTGAGAATCCATAGGTGTTTTGGATCAGTTCATTTGGAACCAAATTATGATTCCTGATCTTAATTTCCATGTGTTTTATTTTTGCATCTAGTCATTGGGTAGTCCTCCTTACGTAGCACACTCCACAACTACAATAGTATTTATATATAACAGAATTCACCTGATGATGGGGTAGAACATCCTTATGAATAGCTGAGAGGATTGGCCGGGTATTGAATACAACATGAACCTCAGCAGAAAAATAACGCTCATGGACACTAGAAGAAATTTGCGTGGATAGGTTTTCACATTCAGCTCCAATCCAAGAAAGTTGCAAATAAACAGGCTTAATTTTTCTGAAATTAGCAATCTTGCTACGAATGACAGAATTAACAATATTAGGCAGATACCCATTATTACATAATCCTCATTACAAAACAGATTTCACTATCCAGGAAAGCCTCAGAACAGATCATCAACACCCAATGAGCAAGAGTTTTGATGAGGTTTATCTTCTGCTTCCTAAAACAAAAGGAATCCCAACGTGTCTACAACCTGGCAAAAGTAGACTTCCTATATACTGGGGTCAAAAACGATGTTGGAGTACAATGCACCAATACATCTAAAAATGCAAGTTGGGAATTAGACTCTTTCTCAACCGTAAACCTCAGAGCTGGATGAAGACTATTGAGAGTGGAGAGAAATTGATCCGCCTCAACTACATTAAATAAACAAAAAGTATCATTGATATGCCAACAATATAATTGTGGATGAAGTGAACTACTAAGCAATCTCACCTCATGAAAACCAACAAATATATTTGCCAGTACAGGGCCCAAAAGGGCAACATCCTTAATCTGTCAAAACATAATGTTATCAAAGCTAAATTCAACAGATGATTTGGCAAATTTCATCAGTTCAAAGAACACTTTGTTATATAATATATATATATATATATATATATATATATATAATATTTAATTTATTTGTTTATCCATTATTTTAAATGGATACTCATATTCAGCTCAGTAGATACAAATAAATAAATAAAGATGGAACATCTGCTCAAATATGAGTTGCCATTTAAAATAATGATTAAACAAGTAAATTTCAAATATATATAACATTTATTCCATTTCCTAAAAATATATGTATATATATATATTGTGTGTGTAGAAAAAAAGCAACTATAATAAGATAGATTATGTATAGTGCAGATAATATTCCCAAATTTGGTTTATATGATAGAAAAATAAAACTAGTAATAAAATAATAGTAATAATGAAGAGTGTATAGAGCCAGAGTGTTGGGATAAAAAGCAACAATAATAAGATGGAGAAATCTAATTCCCAAATTTTATTTTTCAGTTTATTGCCATTTTGCTGGATATGAAATTGGACCTTCAGGAAATTCTTGTATTGCCTGTGCAAAAGGATTTTACAAGAACAATACTGCAGGAATTCTTGAAAAGTGTAGTCCATGTCCCCAGAATTTTACAACTTCTGTAACTGAAGGAGCTACTAATATCAGTCAATGTGACTTAAGTAAGTTTGTTTTTTATTCCTCAATCCTTACACTTTCTATTTTTTTCTTTTGCTTAATTAACAGCTACTTGTATGCAACATTCAATGATTAACGCAGATTCATAATTGTTTTGGGTCAATTTGAGTTGGTGTGATTTTGTGACATTTTGTCTGAAATAAGAAATTGACATACCAGCAGTAAATGGAACTATTTGGGGAGCCATCAATGGTTTTGCGAGCACAAAATCACAAATCATCATGATCGAGGGTTTCAGCATATCGGCCTTGTTTAGACTTCTAATCGCACCAGATAATGCACTCTCTTCCAGAAACTGTAACTAAGGTTCACTTGGTAGTTGCACTATAAACCACAGGTGGACATATGTGCCTGAGCAAGCATCTGGAATAGGGATCGCCTAGCAGACAGGCATTCTCTGATATGAGTGTCCAAATATTTCTTTGAGATTTATTTATAAATAAAAATTAACTGTGCACTTTGTTTGCATGCTGAAACTTGAGCACCACAAAACAAGTTGTTACAATTATTTTTTACAACTATACATATTACATTCTGAAAAACATGATATTCATATAAATATAACATCAAATTTTTACCAATTCAATTGTGAAAATATCAACCTGCATAATAAAATCTGACACTATATTCTTTATGAATTCTAAATATGTTTTTCTTCTTTTTATTTTTTGTTTTTTACAATAATCTCTACAGGAATAAGCTCGTGTAGTTTAGAGACTATTAAAAGAGGTTTGGAGCCAAAAGAAATGTATATAATTTATTTATATATATATGAGATACTCTGCTGATCAAATATATTTTTCCATAGCCTATGTCTTTTAGATTTATTTATAAATAAAAATTAATATTTCACTTTGTTTACATAATAAAACCTGAAACAAGTTGTTACAAATAGGTTTAATTCTAAAACTGATTGTTTATAAATTTTAAATATTTTTTTTTTCTTTCAACTCAAATCTTTGTAGGAATCTGTTCAGCTGGTCAATTCAGAGACAATGTAAGTAACACATGCAAGGATTGTCATCAAGGTTATTATCAACCAAATATCACCACAGGTAACTGCCTGAAATGTGCAGCCAACTATACAACCCTAGCATCAGGATCCAAAAATGAATCTGACTGCATATGTAAGTAAATAATTTCAATTCTTTAAACCTGTTGTAATTTTGCTTTCAAAATATACCAAGCACAAGGCAAGCTAAGACACTCTCATTTTGATGAATAGATGTATAGATATAGATGTCGAAATATAGATATAGAACTTTATACAATTTAGACAATACCCACATATAACTATGCATAGCTTGGCAGGAACTCATTAGTTCACTTTTTTCAAAGAAATGATAATTTCATTGAAGACCTTTTCAGTTTCAGGCAGATTGGAAAACTACATTTACAGATGTGATCTGCATGTTTGAAAAAGAAAACTAGTGGTTTTAAGATGATCAATCTAATAAGTAGGGCGTGTCTACCTGATAGATAAAAATAATGAAGAGTGTATAGAGCCAGAGTGTTGGGATAAAAAGCAACAATAATAAGATGGAGTAATCTAATGTAATTCCCAAATTTTGATTTTCAGTTTTTTGCAATTTTCCTGGATATGAAATTGGACCTTCAGGAAATTCTTGTACTGCCTGTGCAAAAGGATTTTACAAGAACAATACTGCAAGAATTCTTGAAAAGTGTAGTCCATGTCCCCAGGATTTTACAACTACCATAACTGAAGGAGCTACTAATATCAGTCAATGTGACTTAAGTAAGTTTGTTTTTTATTCCTCAATCCTTGTACTTTCTTTCTTGTTTTTACTATAGGAGGAAAATAAATAAAAATAAAAAAAAACTCAAGTATAATGTAAGACTTGTTCAGTTTTCATCTCCTGCAAATGAACATGACTTATTCAGGTATTTAATCAGTTATTTCTTATATATCAAGTAGCATTCAGTAAACAATTATGTCAAAAATTTCTATCTTTTGATTTTCCCAATCACTTCACTTCTGCTAATGGTTTTACTATAGAAATGCATTGAAAATATGGAAGAAAGGAATTGTCAGTGGTCAGGAATGAAGGCAAGCATTACCGAGAAAATTTTACAAAAGCTACTCAAGGTAGAGAGTTACTGAATGAGATTATCATGAGTGAATAAAAGAAAGTAAGAAGGATACATAGGATAGTTAATGGTTGAGCATAGGCTGACAAGATTAAGACGATGTGATGAGGGAAGATGAAGGGAATGTAGCAAGAGGTTAGCAACATTTCAGTCTATTGGGAAAGGAACTGCAGGGTGGAAAATAATTCATCACCCACAAGGCAGCATAATTGTTTTTGAATTGTCAAAACTAGGTGGATGTTTAGCAAATATTTCAAGCCAACAGCTTAGTGGCAAACCATAATTATGAATTTGTGTCAAACATGGCTGTGTTTGAAAAATAAGAATGGGAGTCAGCTTATTTTGTTAATGAGTTTGATTTCAGATGAGGCTACACTGAGTACTCGCTTTTATTATGTAATGTGATGGGGTTCAGGGTTAAATTAAACAGTAGGATTTTGTATGTGGAAAAAATCATTGTTGCTTTGAAAAAATTGTTAATGCAATGTTAAATCGCAAAAAAGATTATTCTTAGAATCCAGAAAATAGGTTTTGGTTTTAAATAATCCACTAAAGTTTAATAAGCCATAAAAAAACAAATCAATCGGTCATCTTTTATAACTAAACCTCCTCAAATACAAGCCTTCATATTCAAAACTTCAAAATATATCCTATATACTCACATATTATGTGACTTTTGAAGACCTAATTTTGAAGTTAATTTTAAGGGGGTCTCATCATACACTAGATATAAAATTAATGTATTTACTGCTGACTCTGTCTACACCATTGACCAAACTATTCATTTACTGTAGTCAAAATTATAGCTGTATTTAAAATAAACATTACACAAGTATATATATGGTATTTCCGACAGTTTCTGATGTTTTCTTTTCTTTTAACAGGGGATTGTCCAGAAGGTACATTTATAAATGGAGACAATTGCACTTTGTGTCCAAATGCCACCTATCAACCTGAAAGGAGTAAATACAAGTGTGAGTTATGTGGAAACAACACCTTCACTTCTCGTTTAGGAGCCACTGAAAAAAAGGAATGCCAATGTAAGTCTTATTCAATTGTTAACCAACAAAAATTTACAAGGATGTGCTGAAAAATTCTCATCCTGATCCACTTCCCAAAATCTAATCAAATGACAAAGCATTGTAATGTATCCACCCCCCACCCACCCACACCTCCAATCTTTTGTTGGTTGGGTTAAGAAATTTTCAGCAACTTCTTGTCTGAACACTTTCTCAGATTCTGTAAAAACAGAAAAAATGTCACTTTAAGCATGGAATATAACTCTGTTTTCTGTCTAAATTTTTTGGGATGATGAGTTATTATCATTTGCACTGTTTACATGCATGCTATTGCCCTCATCTTTGTTGTTGCTATCACAATGTTTTGGCCATTGTCCATTCCAGCCCTCATCAGGTGTATGTCGATCCAGAGGAACAAGTAATTACGGTTAGTGGAGAAAGGAAGTCACATAAATGCATTATGTGTGGCTTCGTTTGAAAGTGGACAGTTGACTCTTTTTGACTGGATGACCTCTGTGTGCACATGTGTCCAAGATATGAAAGAATAAACAACTCATCTCTGACTGTATCTGTCTATATTTCTGAGATGAGATATTATGTATACTATTCGGACTATTGTCCTCATCTTTGTTGCCATATTTATCACAATGTTTCGGCCATTGTATGCTCCAGCCTTCTTCAGGTGGTTGGAATGTCAAACTGAACCCTTTTTTTCGCTCACTGGGGTAGACTGTTCTAGTTCCACATGCCATGTCTAATGGATGTCAGTTATCAGTTATCTCCTGTTAATTCCCCTCTCCAAGTTCTCCACTGAGTAAGAACCCCTCCCTCCCATAGAGGAAAACATGACTAAAGACAGTTGTGTATGCTATCCCATGCAGTTGCGGAAAGAAATATAAAGGGGAGACAGGCCACCTCCTTAAAGTAAGGCTTCAAGAACACCAGAAATCTGTAACACAATGAGAAGTGGAAAATTCAGACATGGCTGACCACATATGGAGAGAAAAGGGAGATCACTACCATCTGTGGGTTCAGGTTGAGATTATAGACAAAGAACATCATTGGAAAATTCATAAACTTAAGGAATCAGCACATATGCTAGGCCACAAAAATCTCCTGAGCTGACCAAGCATAGAAATGAATACAATATGGGAACCAGTAATAAGGAGTGCCAGAGAAAAATAACAAAAATTGCAATATGAGCTCTGGTAAAAACATGAAATAATAACAGAGAAAATTACAATATGAGCTCTGGTAAAAAATTGTTGCTGAAGACATTAGGTTTATAATACCCATAATTAGCCATTGTAATTGAAAATGATTTGTTTTTAGATACACATTAGCACTAATCAAGGGACTACTAATCCATGTGTTGTTGGTTGAATTTGTTTTTAATCTGAATTAGAAGCTTTTAGCTTGAAAGAAGCTTTTCTTATTGGCTCTAAAATAATTGTTTATTAGATTGTAATTTGAATTTGCTTTAAGTTCATTAAGTATAATTATATTTATGGGCAACATTCAGTCGCCTTAGTCCTTTGACATTCAAATTAGAAGCTTTTTGTTTGAAAGAAGCTTTTCTCATTGGCTCTAAATTAATTGTTTATTAGATTGGATTTGCTTTAAGTTAATTAAGTATGAATATACACATGGTCAGGATACTGTCAGCTCAGTCCTTTGAAGTCCAAATTAAAAGCTTTTTGTTTGAAAGAAGCTTTTTTTATTGGCTCTTAAATAATTGCTTATTAAACTTGAATTTGGACTTGTTCCAAGTTATTACAAACTTGTCCAACAAAAGAAGGAAACCTACAATATGACTAGACAGGCTGTGCATTCGGTGAGAGAGTACATATGTGTATGCATGTCTACAACTCAAGATGAATGAATGGATCAACTCTACTGGTGGTCACCATTCTTTATATAAAGTTTACTTTTATCAGATAAGCTGTTTTTAGAAGTGTTCTAATTTGTTCATAAAGGCAGGAAAGACATTTATTTTCAAACTATAGCAACTTATCTGTGTTTTTGATTGAATTCTTTCTTAGTCTGAATTAGAAGCTTTTTGTCCAAAAGAAGCCTTTCTTATTGGCTCTAAAATAATCATTTATTAAATTTGGACTTGCTTTAACTTTAAGCTAATTAAAATAGATACTACATTTTGCTCTTAGCCAATAGGCCAAGAAATGATGTTGACGATGAAAGTGCACCATTTTTCAGACATAAATTATCAAATAACGGAAACCACAGTAAGGCAATCCCCAAAAATCTAGTTACCATAAATAAAATAACATTGCTGAATTATTTTTAAGAAAAATGTTAGTAAGATTTGGCTAGAAAGAAAGAAATAAGGGAAAATATAAGTGTTTTATGTCTCCTGCCAATACCTCATAAATAATAGGCTATTCTATTTTGAGTGTATATGCTACTTGTTTTCAGTGAAAAAATGAATAAAAGAAAGAAGGGAAGTGTTTAATGGCGGTTTAAGTGAAATGAAAAAAAGTTGTTAATTTCAAATCTCTTCATTTGTATCCACTTCTTAAAATAATGACCAGTATTCATATTTATGAGTGTTATTGAAATATTTTGTTAAAGTTGTTAAGCTCAAATATTTAATGACATGATAGGGAAATTTCTACAGATATTTTTTTTTGTTATAGAACTCTCCATGAGCTTATTCAATCATTAGCTGATGAATTAAGATTCATCAAAAAATTCAAAGAAGAAAACCATGAAATTTTCATGGGTCTTTTTAGTGTGTTTTTATTTAAAAAATGTGTATCATTTATAAAAAATAATTGCCAGCTGTTATAGAAACTTTTGCTTTATTGGCCTTTTGTCCACACATTATTTGAATTTAATTTCAACTTTTTGTTTTCACTCAGTTTTGACAAGGTTATATTTTTGTTGGTGAAAGGCAATTTATCTGGAGTCCTCTCCACTACAATATAAAAATCCTAGATAACTCCTGCATAAAATATAACCAATGTTTATCCATTTTTTATTTTACAGTGATTTGCCTAGCAGGTTTTGAGGGACAAGATAAATGTATACCATGCAAAATTGATTACTTTAAACCAACTGCTGGCCCAATATCTTGCAGAAAGTGTCCAATGCATTTCCTGGCCAATAATATCCGAACAATTTGCAACATCTGTAAGTATTTTCATATTTATTACTTATACCCTAAAACAGGCACACTAACAAGCAGTATTTAAAAATTGAATTACATCATTGATTGCCACCATGTTGTTTCTTCCAAAACCAAACCATAAGCAAATGTCAAAATCATAAATGTTTGCAAAAAAACAATAGCATAGAAAAGATCTGCTTGTATCAATTCTAATTTTAGAAAATGAGTTTTAAATTTGAATTCAAAAGTCTATATAAAAAAATACTATTTAAAACTATAAAGAATAGGATTTCTTTTTTTTTTCTCTATTATTCAAATCTATGAATTCTATTCCTAAATTCAAATTCCCTTTTAAAACTATTCTATTCCTAAATTGCAAAGATGCCCACAATGGAATTTCCATGGGTCCTGCTAGTAATGGATAGGCCACTATTTAAAACTATAAAGAATAGGATTTTTTTTTTTCTCTATTATTCAAATCTATGAATTCCTTTGTATTCTATTCCTAAATTGCAAAGATGCCCATGATGGAATTTCCATGGGTCCTGCTAGTAATGGATAGGCCACTATTTAAAAGTATAAAGAATAGGATTTTTTTTTCTCTATTATTCAAATCTATGAATTCCTTTGTATTCTATTCCTAAATTGCAAAGATGCCCACTATTTAAATAGGCCACTATTTAAAACTATAAAGAATAGGATTTTTTTTTTCTATTATTCAAATCTATGAATTCTTTGTATTCTATTCCTAAATTGCAAAGATGCCCACAATGGAATTTCCATGGGTCCTGCTAGTAATGGATAGGCCACTATTTAAAAGTATAAAGAATAGGATTTCTTTTTTTTTTCTCTATTCTTAAAATCTCTGAATTCCTTTGTATTCTATTCCTAAATTGCAAAGATGCCCATGAAGGAATTTCCATGGGTCCTGCTAGTAATGGATAGGCCACTATTTAAAACTAAAAGAATAGGATTTCTTTTTTTTTTTCTATTATTGAAATCTATGAATTCCTTTGTATTCTATTCCTAATTTGCAAAGATGCCCACAATGGAATTTCCATGGGTCCAGCTAGTAATGGATAGGCCACTATTTAAAACTATAAAGAATAGGATTTCTTTTTTTTTTCTCTATTATTCAAATCTATGAATTCCTTTGTATTCTATTCCTAAATTGCAAAGATGCCCACAATGGAATTTCCATGGGTCCTGCTAGTAATGGATAGGCCACTATTTAAAACTATAAAGAATAGGATTTCTTTTTTTTTCTCTATTATTCAAATCTATGAATTCCTTTGTATTCTATTCCTAAATTGCAAAGATGCCCACAATGGAATTTCCATGGGTCCTGCTAGTAATGGATAGGCCACTATTTAAAACTATAAAGAATAAATTTTTTTTTTTTCTCTATTATTCAAATCTATTTTCCTTTTTTATTCTATTCTCTATTTTCCATGGGTCTAAATTATTTAAAAGTATAAAGAATATGGCCAAATCTATGAATTCAATTCCTAAAAAGATTTCCAAAAGTAATGGATAAGCCACTATTTAAAACTATAAAGAATAGGATTTCTTTTTTTTTTCTATTATTCAAATCTATGAATTCCTTTGTATTCTATTCCTAAATTGCAAAGATGCCCACAATGGAATTTCCATTCCTGCTAGTAATGGATAGGCCACTATTTAAAACTATAAAGAATAGGATTTCTTTTTTTTTTAAATTATTATTCAAATCTATGAATTCCTTTGTATTCTATTCCTAAATTGCAAAGATGCCCACAATGGAATTTCCATGGGTCCTGCTAGTAATGGATAGGCCACTATTTAAAACTATAAAGAATAGGATTTTTTTTTTTTTCTATTATTCAAATCTATGAATTCCTTTGTATTCTATTCCTAAATTGCAAAGATGCCCACAATGGAATTTCCATGGGTCCTGCTAGTAATGGATAGGCCACTATTTAAAACTATAAAGAATAGGATTTCTTTTTTTTTTCTCTATTATTCAAATCTATGAATTCCTTTGTATTCTATTCCTAAATTGCAAAGATGCCCACAATGGAATTTCCATGGGTCCTGCTAGTAATGGATAGGCCACTATTTAAAACTATAAAGAATAGGATTTCTTTTTTTCTCTATTATTCAAATCTATGAATTCCTTTGTATTCTATTCCTAAATTGCAAAGATGCCCACAATGGAATTTCCATGGGTCCTGCTAGTAATGGATAGGCCACTATTTAAAACTATAAAGAATAGGATTTCTTTTTTTTCTATTCTATTATTCAAATCTATGAATTTCCTTTGTAATGGATAGGCCACTATTATAAAGAATAGGATTTCTTTTTTTTTCTCTATTTCCTTTGTATTCTATTCCTAAATTGCAAAGATGCCCACAATGGAATTTCCATGGGTCCTGCTAGTAATGGATAGGCCACTATTTAAAACTATAAAGAATAGGATTTTTTATTCAAAATCTATGAATTCCTTTGTATTCTATTCCTAAATTGCAAAATCTATGATGCCCAAATGGAATTTCCATGGGTCCTGCTAGTAATGGATAGGCCACTATTTAAAACTATAAAGAATAGGATTTTTTTTTTTTTCTCTATTATTCAAATCTATGAATTCCTTTGTATTCTATTCCTAAATTGCAAAGATGCCCACAATGGAATTTCCATGGGTCCTGCTAGTAATGGATAGGCCACTATTTAAAACTATAAAGGATAGGATTTTTTTTTTTTTTCTCTATTATTCAAATCTATGAATTCCTTTGTATTCTATTCCTAAAAAGATGCCCATGGATGGAATTTCCATGGGTCCTGCTAGTAATGGATAGGCACTATTTAAAACTATAAAGAATAGGATTTTTTTTTTTCTCTATTATTCAAATCTATGAATTCCTTTGTATTCTATTCCTAAATTGCAAAGATGCCCACAATGGAATTTCCATGGGTCCTGCTAGTAATGGATAGGCCACTATTTAAAACTATAAAGAATAGGATTTTTTTTTTTTTCTCTATTATTCAAAATCTATGAATTCCTTTGTATTCTATTCCTAAATTGCAAAGATGCCCACAATGGAATTTCCATTAGGCCACTATTTAAAACTATAAAGAATAGGATTTCTTTTTTTTTCTCTATTATTCAAATCTATGAATTCCTTTGTATTCTATTCCTAAATTGCAAAGATGCCCACAATGGAATTTCCATGGGTCCTGCTAGTAATGGATAGGCCACTATTTAAAACTATAAAGAATAGGATTTCTTTTTTTTTCTCTATTATTCAAAAATCTTTGGTAAAGATGCCTATTCCCAAATTGCAAAATGATGCCCAAAATGAATATTTCCATGGGTCCTGCTAGTAATGGATAGGCCACTATTTAAAACTATAAAGAATAGGATTTTTTTTTTTTTCTCTATTATTCAAATCTATGAATTCCTTTGTATTCTATTCCTAAATTGCAAAGATGCCCAAATGGGTCCTGCTAGTAATGGATAGGCCACTATTTAAAACTATAAAGAATAGGATTTCTTTTTTTTTTCTCTATTATTCAAATCTATGAATTCCTTTGTATTCTATTCCTAAATTGCAAAGATGCCCACAATGGAATTTCCATGGGTCCTGCTAGTAATGGATAGGCCACTATTTAAAACTATAAAGAATAGGATTTTTTTTTCTCTATTATTCAAATCTATGAATTCCTTTGTATTCTATTCCTAAATTGCAAAGATGCCCACAATGGAATTTCCATTCCTGCTAGTAATGGATAGGCCACTATTTAAAACTATAAAGAATAGGATTTCTTTTTTTTTCTATTATTCAAATCTATGAATTCCTTTGTATTCTATTCCTAAATTGCAAAGATGCCCACAATGGAATTTCCATGGGTCCTGCTAGTAATGGATAGGCCACTATTTAAAACTATAAAGAATAGGATTTCTTTTTTTTTTCTATTATTCAAATCTATGAATTCCTTTGTATTCTATTCCTAAATTGCAAAGATGCCCAAAGTAATGGATAGGCCACTATTTAAAACTATAAAGAATAGGATTTTTTTTTTTCTCTATTATTCAAATCTATGAATTCCTTTGTATTCTATTCCTAAATTGCAAAGATGCCCACAATGGAATTTCCATGGGTCCTGCTAATGGATAATGGATAGGCCACTATTTTATTGAATGAATTCCTTTGTATTCTATTCCTAAATTGCAAAGAATTTCCATGGGTCCTGCTAGGATTTTTTTTTTTTTTTTTCTATTATTCAAATCTATGAATTCCTTTGTATTCTATTCCTAAATTGCAAAGATGCCCACAATGGAATTTCCATGGGTCCTGCTAGTAATGGATAGGCCACTATTTAAAACTATAAAGAATAGGATTTCTTTTTTTTTTTCTCTATTATTGAAATCTATGAATTCCTTTGTATTCTATTCCTAAATTGCAAAGATGCCCACAATGGAATTTCCATGGGTCCTGCTAGTAATGGATAGGCCACTATTTAAAAGTATAAAGAATAGGATTTTTTTTTTTTCTATTATTCTCTATTATTCAAATCTATGAATTTCCATTTGTATTCTATTCCTAAAACTTAAAGGAAAGATGCCCACAATGGAAATTTCCATTGGTCCCTAAATTGCAAAGTAATGGATTTCCAGGGTCCTGCTATTAAAACTATAAAAAACTATAAAGATTTTTCTTTTTTTTTTATTATTATTTCAAATCTATGAATTCCTTTGTATTCTATTCTAAATTGCAAAGATGCCCACAATGGAATTTCCATGGGTCCTGCCTGCTAGTAATGGATAGGCCACTATTTAAAACTATAAAGAATAGGATTTTTTTTTTTTCTCTATTATTCAAATCTATGAATTCCTTTGTATTCTATTCCTAAATTGCAAAGATGCCCACAATGGAATTTCCATGGGTCCTGCTAGTAATGGCCAATTATTTAAAAGTATAAAGAATAGGATTTTTTTTTCTTTAATGGATAGGCCACTATTTAAAAATCTATATAAAAATTGCAAAGATGCCCACATTTTCCATTTTTTTTATTTATTATTCAAATCTATTATTCAAATCCTTTTCCTTTGTATTCTATTCCTAAATTGCAAAGATGCCCACAATGGAATTTCCATGGGTCCTGCTAGTAATGGATAGGCCACTATTTAAAAATATAAAGAATAAATTATTCAAATCTATGAATTCCTTTGTATTCTATTCCTAAATTGCAAAGATTTGAAATTTCCATGGGTCCTGCTAGTAATGGATAGGCCACTATTTAAAACTATAAAGAATAGGATTTTTTTTTTTCTTATTATTCAAATCTATGAATTCCTTTGTATTCTATTCCTAAATTGCAAAGATGCCCACAATGGAATTTCCATGGGTCCTGCTAGTAATGGATAGGCCACTATTTAAAACTATAAAGAATAGGATTTTTTTTTTTTCTCTATTATTCAAATCTATGAATTCCTTTGTATTCTATTCCTAAATTGCAAAGATGCCCCAATGGAATTTCCATGGGTCCTGCTAGTAATGGATAGGCCACTATTTAAAACTATTTTTTTTTATATAGGAATTCTTTTTTTTTTTTTTCTCTATTATTCAAATCTATGAATTCCTTTGTATTCTATTCCTAAATTGCAAAGATGCCCACAATGGAATTTCCATGGGTCCTGCTAGTAATGGATAGGCCACTATTTAAAACTATAAAGAATAGGATTTTTTTTTTTTCTCTATTATTCAAATCTATGAATTCCTTTGTATTCTATTCCTAAATTGCAAAGATGCCCACAATGGAATTTCCATGGGTCCTGCTAGTAATGGATAGGCCACTATTTAAAACTATAAAGAATAGGATTTTTTTTTTTTTTTTCTCTATTATTCAAATCTATGAATTCCTTTGTATTCTATTCCTAAATTGCAAAGATGCCCACAATGGAATTTCCATGGGTCCTGCTAGTAATGGATAGGCCACTATTTAAAACTATAAAGAATAGGATTTCTTTTTTTTTCTCTATTATTCAAATCTATGAATTCCTTTGTATTCTATTCTATTCCCTAAATTAGGATTTTTTTTTTTTCTCTAAAATCTATGAATTCCTTTTATTCTATTCCTAAATTGCAAAGATGCCCACAATGGAATTTCCATGGGTCCTGCTAGTAATGGATAGGCCACTATTTAAAACTATAAAGAATAGGATTTCTTTTTTTTTCTCTATTATTCAAATCTATGAATTCCTTTGTATTCTATTCCTAAATTGCAAAGATGCCCACAATGGAATTTCCATGGGTCCTGCTAGTAATGGATAGGCCACTATTTAAAAGTATAAAGAATAGGATTTTTTTTTTTCTCTATTATTCAAATCTTTTGTATTATTCCTAAATTGCAAATCTATGAATTCCTTTGTATTCTATTCTATAAATTTCAAAAATCTATGATTCCTATTCCTAAAAAAGATGGAATTTCCATGGGTCCTGCTAGTAATGGATAGGCCACTATTTAAAACTATAAAGAATAGGATTTTTTTTTTTTTCTCTATTATTCAAATCTATGAATTCCTTTGTATTCTATTCCTAAATTGCAAAGATGCCCACAATGGAATTTCCATGGGTCCTGCTAGTAATGGATAGGCCACTATTTAAAAACTATAAAGAATAGGATTTCTTTTTTTTTCTCTATTATTCAAATCTATGAATTCCTTTGTATTCTATTCCTAAATTGCAAAGATGCCCACAATGGAATTTCCATGGGTCCTGCTAGTAATGGATAGGCCACTATTTAAAACTATAAAGAATAGGATTTTTTTTTTTTTATTCTCTGTATTATTCAAATCTATGAATTCCTTTGTATTCTATTCCTAAATTGCAAAGAAATGCCCTACAATGGAATTTTCCATGGGTCCTGCTAGTAATGGATAGGCCACTATTTAAAACTATAAAGAATAGGATTTCTTTTTTTTTCTCTTATTATTCAAATCTATGAATTCCTTTGTATTCTATTCCTAAATTGCAAAAGATGCCCAAATGGAATTTCCATGGGTCCTGGATAGGCTATTTAAAACTGGATAGGCCATTATTCAAATCTATTTCCTTTGTATTCTATTCCTAAATTGCAAAGATATAAATGAAATATAGGCCACTTTTAAAACTTTTTTTTTTTTTTTCTCTATTATTCAAATCTATGAATTCCTTTGTATTCTATTCCTAAATTGCAAAGATGCCCACAATGGAATTTCCATGGGTCCTGCTAGTAATGGATAGGCCACTATTTAAAACTATAAAGGATAGGATTTTTTTTTTTTTTTCTATTATTCAAATCTATGAATTCCTTTGTATTCTATTCCTAAATTGCAAAGATGCCCACAATGGAATTTCCATGGGTCCTGCTAGTAATGGATAGGCCACTATTTAAAACTATAAAGAATAGGATTTCTTTTTTTTTTCTCTATTATTCAAATCTATGAATTCCTTTGTATTCTATTCCTAAATTGCAAAGATGCCCATAATGGAATTTCCATGGGTCCTGCAAGTAATGGATAGGCCACCATTTAAAACTTTTTTTTTTTTTTTCTCTATTATTCAAAAATTGCAAAGATGCCCACAATGGAATTTCCATGGGTCCCATGGGTTAATGGATAGGCCACTATTTAAAACTATAAAGAATAGGATTTTTTTTTTTTTCTCTATTATTGAAATCTATGAATTCCTTTGTATTCTATTCCTAAATTGCAAAGATGCCCATGGAATTTCCATGGGTCCTGCTAGTAATGGATAGGCCACTATTTAAAAGTATAAAGAATATTTTTTTTTTCTCTATTATTGAAATTTTTTTTTCTCTATTATTAATGGAAATCTATTTAAAACTATAAAGATATTTTTTTTTTTTCTCTATTCTTCCTTTGTATTCTATTCCTAATTTGCAAAGATGCCCACAATGGAATTTCCATGGGTCCTGCTAGTAATGGATAGGCCACTATTTAAAACTATAAAGGATAGGATTTCTTTTTTTCTCTATTATTCAAATCTATGAATTCCTTTGTATTCTATTCCTAAATTGCAAAGATGCCCACAATGGAATTTCCATGGGTCCTGCTAGTAATGGATAGGCCACTATTTAAAAACTATAAAGAATAGGATTTTTTTTTTTTTCTCTATTATTCAAATCTATGAATTCCTTTGTATTCTATTCCTAAATTGCAAAGATGCCCACAATGGAATTTCCATGGGTCCTGCTAGTAATGGATAGGCCACTATTTAAAAGTATAAAGAATAGGATTTTTTTTTTTTTCTATTATTCAAATCTATGAATTCCTTTGTATTCTATTCCTAAAAGATGCCCACAATGATGCATGCTGCTAGTAATGGATAGGCCACTATTTAAAACTAAAAAATAACTAAAAAGTAAAAATATAAAAAGTAAAAAAAAAAAAAAAAAAAATTAATTCTGCTTTGATGAAGCAACTAATTTATTTTTTTTTCTCTTTTACTTTCAAAGTTAGTTGCGAAAAAGGTTTCTACAATGTCACTAATAGTTCTTGTGATCCTTGTGCCATTGGGGAATATAAAAACCAATCTGGAAACTTTCCTTGTTCACCATGTCCTGATCCCACGTTTACTACAGCTAGTAATGGAAGTGGAACTGTTCAACAATGCAACGTTGGTAAGTATAAAACCAGTTTTTATTCAGCTGCCTGTGTTTTTGATATTGTCTTGCCTTCACTTTGAGAAAGATTACACAATCTGAATGAATGCTTTACTCACCAGTTAATTACACTGAAGACTGGTATTTTATCAATGAATCTGTTACAGGTGAAAATGATTGTACTGAAAAAGGAGGTATGATAAAGCTACTAAGACACAAGGAATTACTGAGTGTGAAAAAGTCTGAGAAAAAAGACATTAAGGAGAGAGGTCAATAAAAGAGCAGGATTCAAGGAGACAGAATATGTCGATTGACATTGCATTTAAATTTTTTTGAAGATCATTGACTTTAAAGCAAGAAACTAGTAGCATAGAACTTGGTTACATCTAGCAATTTCAGTTGTAAAATGATGAGACCGAACAGCCAATTTAGTACTGTGCTTAAATTTGTAAAGTCAAGGAACTGAAGATAAAGCTTATCAAAACAATTACATGAATGTTTTTATAGAAAAGTCACAGAAAAGGCTACGCTATGACAGTGGGAAAGTGACTGAAGCTGAGATGCTATGTCAGGACCAATAACATTGTAAATTGTTTTTTGGATTTTTTTCAAGAATCTCTAAATATATAGCAGAAGCACCAGACTAAATTGGAAAAGACAAATATAATAAAAAATATATAACAGAAAATGTCAAATAGTATCTATATAGAATAAGATGATTGATTAATTTTTTTCTACAGCTTATCAGCCCTTTGCAGGTTATTTAAAGCCAGAAAATAGTTTTAGATTATAAAAGTTTTGTGGGGGCAATAATAATTTTAGTCATACACGTTTTACTAATTAATCTATATCTGGGGGGAGAATAGGTTGAGCCATACCTTTCTGAAGGATATTTGTACATAAGTGAATGTAATGAACTCAACAAGAATTGGAACTTAGCTCTCCAATTAACAATTCCCAGCAATTATCAATTACACCACCCACACATCCAAGCTTATAGCATCTGGTATTCCCAGACAGTCACCTATCTAGGTACTGACCAGGCTTGACATTGCTTAACTGGTGATTGTACAGGAACTGTTGTTCTGTTATTCTGGTGTTGTTAGGACATGGAAGAATGCAGATATTAAACAATGAAATATAACTAGAGTAGATTTTATTGATTGATATGTTTCTTACTTTTTATCAACCTCTTGCAGTTTATTTAAAGTCAGAAATTAATTTTAGATTGTAAGATTCCAAGCTTGCAACACCTGGTATTCTCAAGCAGTTACCCATTCAGATACTCACTAGGCTCAATGTTGCTTAATTTCAGTGATCATCTGGGAACCAATGTTTTAATATGACATAACTGTAAGCCAATATAAACTAATGTAATTCTGAAATAACATCAAGAAAATACAATAGATAATTATTTACATTGTTCAGACTGTTGCTCTCATCTTTATCGTTATATTCACAACATTTTGCTCATTGTATGCTCCATTCTTCTTCAGGAGATATACATTGGAATTTCAAAACGAACATGTGTATATCACCTGAAGAAGGCCAGAGCATACATGGATGAAACATTATGAATATGACAATAAAGATGAGGACAACAGTCTGACCAATGTAAATAGTTACAATACCTCGTTTCAGATATATAGACAGATGTAAATAGTTACAATACCTCGTTTCAGATATATAGACAGATGTAAATAGTTACAATACCTCGTTTCAGATATATAGACAGATGTAAATAGTTACAATACCTCGTTTCAGATATATAGACAGATGTAAATAGTTACAATACCTCGTTTCAGATATATAGACAGATGTAAATAGTTACAATACCTCGTTTCAGATATATAGACAGATGTAAATAGTTATATCGTTTCAGATATATAGACAGATGTAAATAGTTACAATACCTCGTTTCAGATATATAGACAGATGTAAATAGTTACAATATCTCGTTTCAGATATATAGACAGATGACAATAAGTAATGTTTAGATAAGATAAAGGGATGCTAAAAATCTGAAAACTAAGTGTAAATTAATTATTAGGTTGTGTCATAAGTAATTTCTTTTTTGGGGAACCAATTGTAATGACAAATATATCATCCTAACTAACTATTTATTAAATATATCATAGCAGGTGATGTAAAATATAAAATGTCAGATCTAAGATCTATTTGCTTAAGTCATAAGTAATTTTACATTTTTGGGGAACCAATTGTAATGACAAATATAGAAAGAGCTGATCTCTTCATATATGATAGAATTAATCTGTATAAAGAATAAGAAAAAGAAAATCTTACAAAGTTTGCTAGTTCTGGGTAAAACGATAAACTACATCTGGCAGCAAGGCCTCTGATTGAGGCACATGGAACCACCTCTGAGTTGTTTCTCCCAGGTCCACCCTGACATATTAGGGTCCCAGCTATGGGCAAATAATGAACACCAAACAAAAATCAACAGTACATTTTTATAGTAAAATTACCAATGATACATTTTATGATCTACAAACAATATATCTAAAAAAATATACCTTTACTCCGAAAGTGTAAATATACGAAATATCTGTAATTGGTAGCATAAAATTACATACAAAATATTTAGATTGTGGCATTAAATAACCCATAGAGATGTTGATATGCCACTAAACAAAATCAACCAACCAACATGAAAGGACTTTCATCACATTAATCTATATAATATCCTACAATTTCTTAAATCAAACTGTATTCCAAAATATAACTTCAACAAAACTACAATATAAAATACACATCACTGCCTCTAGTTATTATGTCCACACAACATTTTATATATATATATATATATATATATATATGCACACACAAAAGCTGAGTATCATCTACCATGTATACAATTGTGAAAGCAGAATGTTGTATTTTTATTACTTCAAACATCTATTTCAGCATTTAAATGACCCATCAGAAGTTGATATGCTGTTAAAAAAATCAATCTTGAAACATTTTCAACCACATGGAGCTAGAATTCCTGTGTGGTGCTTCTTGATTATAATGATGTCTAAAATGTCTTTAGATGGCAGCGACAGAATTAAGTTCAGACAATTAAAGAACGTAGTTTACTTTCTCTGCTGTTGAAGCCATGGCTCAATAACAATTCTGAAAAATGTTATTTTAGGACAAAAGGATAAAATATAAAAGGTAAAAAATAACCAATTTTAAAAATAACAAGAAAAAACTAGATATTAAACTTAAGAACATTTTTACAGATTATTTTAGAGAAAATGGAAACAAAAAGGGACATTTCTACTTAACATTAGAAAGAAAGAAACAGCTGAAATTTCTAAGGCACATAATGAGGAAAGAGGGCTTAGAAAATTTGGCACTCACAGGACATATTGAAGAACAAGAGAGAGCAGTGCAAAACCTACCTAATGATCTTGTTTAAATGGATGGCAGAACAGAGATTAGGAAAGATAGCGAAAAGACAAAATTAACAAAGGACAGGAAATTGTGGAGACCCATCATCGCCCACGTCCTGAAGGGACAAGGCACATAGAAGAAAATGTTACCAACAACAATGCTATCTACAAGTAGCTATTCTGTCAGGTATTGTCAGATTGTTCAGCACAACATTGCCGATTTTCTTTTAAGCTTGGTCAAAGTACTCTTATTACACTTATTTATAAAGAACACAAAAAGACTGGAAAGGAATAACAAAATAGTTACTATAAACTGCAGCATACAAGTTGAGCTTACAAGCCTAAAAAATTTTTTTTTGAAATTAGGCGTTGACTTTTATGACGAGTATAAAATGCAAACTTTACCACTAAGTTGTAAACAAGTGGGACAGCACTCCTAACCAATTACTGCACACCACTTAACATACCCCCAGCAAGCTGTTAAAAATATATTCCACTAAAACTTGTGTTTGGTGAACATATTTGGCATAATTTTTTTTTAATCATTTCACCCCAATCAAGGCAAGAATGCCACTAGTATACAGGGGTTACAGAGAGTGAAGGTGAGAGAAAAAAACTGGACGGCGGTGGGGGTGATTGAGGAAAGTAGGAATTCAAGAAGATAAAAGATGGCCATTGACATTGCATTTAAATTTTTGAAGATTGTAGTTATCAGGGAAGCAAATAAACAGAAGGGAGTTCCACAGGTGGGAACTGCAGGAAAAACTGTTGTAGTAGAAGTGGTGATTACATTTAACTATTTGAACAGTAGAAAATGCCAATCTAATAGCACACTTAAATTGTAGTCAGGGCACCAATGTAAAAAGCTTGTCAGAGGAGTTGCTAAGAAAATATTTGTAGAAAAGACAGAGGGAAGGCACATCACATTGGTGAGAAAGTGACTGAAGTCAAGATGCCAAATTAGGATTTCATTACAGATCCTTCTTTGGATTTTGTCAAGACAAATAACAAGAGCACCAGACCATATATGACAACAGTATTCAATACACGGATGAATGGTAGATTTGTAAAAGTGCAAGATGGACTCTGATGAGAAAAACATTCTGGCATGACTCAGTGAACCAACTTTCCTTATTAATACAGAAATTAATTTTATGTTTAATAAATGAAAGTGAGTAAGTGATGTTTTTTTATATATACACAGATATATATATATATATATATACATACACACCCACAGTGTAACAGCAAAATTGTCCAAATCATGTAACACCATGAGATAATTGTCCATCCCACAAAATGTTTATCTAAAAACCACTAAACAAATTGAGTTTTTTTTTTCCAGGTTTTCAGATGTTTAGCCATCTTGACACCATTTGTTGTAAGAATCACTGAAAAACCCATTGAGTTATTCAGCTAGAAAGAGAACCGGTTAAAAATGTTTTGTGTCAGCCCCACTATGTCTTTCCAACTGAGCAATGGTGAGAGGAAATAGGTTATTCAGGGTTTCAGTAATGCTACAAACATTCATCTTCAAAGTCCATTCAAGAACCATCAAGAGAAAGGTGAATTTAGTTTAAAAAAGAGCAAACGATACAGATGTAAACTGGATAAGGAGGTCACAACACCGAGGGAACATCATTTCAGCTTAGAGCTAAATACATTCTTATTCAAAGTAGAGTCCAGTAGTGTTATGAAAATCTCAGAGAATTCCAGTAAGATATCTTTAATCCTTTCTAAGATACAACAGTTCACAGCTTAATCTAACAATTGGACAATTCTTCTGTTACACTTGATATATGGGGCACCTCAAGGCAATGTAATGTTTAGCAAGCTTGTCATGTTAGAACAATTACGACTGAGTAGTGAGTTTGATCCTCACTGGGTAACCCATTCTTTTAAAAACTAAATCTAACATGGAAACCCCCTGTAATCGTAGAATTAAGGAAAACTGCTCAGTAGAGTGCATGTGCAGATCCACTAGGCAACCATTACCCCTAAAGAAAATGACAAACCATAATATTTACATCAGTATTTCTGCAGGAGAATTTAAAAAGAGAATCAATACACATAGACATTCATTCATCAATCCAAATTTAAAATGCCAAACAGCCCTTTCAAAAAAATTTGGGGAATTGAAGGAAAAGGGTCTGAATCCTCAAATAAATTGGAAAATTCTAGGTTTCGTGAACACCCCCAATAGTTTTAGGGATAGGAGGGGGACTGACATTGAAAATAAATTTAGAACAATGATCCAAGACAGATATTTAGGGGTGATGGTAGCTGCGTACAGAACAACTTGAAATAGACTATCTCTATGTTGAGGTAATTTGGGGTTTTTTGCTGTAAAAAATGATTATAATTATTTTTTTTTTTAAATATGATTCCATTGTGACACAAATTACTGTGTTTTAAAACTGGTCCCCTGAATTCAAGTTTAATTTCAATCTTAAACCTTAACTGTTGGATGACAGTTTCATCCTCAAACAATGTTTTAAGCTCTACTTCCGTATCAAGTACTGTTTTTTAAAAATTAAAAACAAAAATAATAAAGAACTTCAGATCATCCATCTAACAGTTCTTTCTTATATCAATATATACACACGCACACATACACACACACATATGCATGAATATATATATATATATATATATATATATATATATATATATGAAGAAAAACATACGGAAAAAACAAAAATCCTTATATGCAATTATGCTGTTTTAATGTTAATATAATGTCAACGTCGAACGTTTCGGTCTAATAAACCATCTTCAGGACATGTTCATAAAATATAATTAACATTATCAATTCAACATGACAAATTATATAAGAAAGGGGTTAAATCCATAACCTGTTATTCAAAATATATAACACATAAAAATCAATCTAAAAGTAAAATAATTTAAATATTAATTTGCTTTTTTATTTATATATATATATATATATATATATATATTTATTTTTGCAACCTAGGGAAGGTTACTGAATAGAATAATCACACGAATTAGTAGATATGACAAATTTTAAATGTTCTCTAAGTTATACTGATACAGTATATGGTACCTACTAGTGTGTTTTTTGCTATAAAACACTTATTACGGTTAGTATTTCAATATACAGGTAAGTGGTGTGATCTTATGCAGTTCTAGCACAGGTTATCATATACTGTAGTCTAATTTCATTTACTGGTATGCTGAAGTTTTGAGCCACTTGTAGCCTACCAAGTTTGAGGGTTAACTTTATATGGCAGGTATAGGGCTAACTCGAAATTTTGAGCTAAAAATCTTCAAGTTGACTTGTACACTGCAATTTACAGTATTTTAAATTTAGATTTTTTTAACACTTGATATGCAAATTAGTCATCTTTGTGAAGCATGAAGCACTAAAAGGTCAGCTTTAAGACACATAGTGATAAAGCCCCACTTATTTGATATAACAGTTTTACATAATATTTACACTCCTACATCAACTTTGACTTTTATATACATTTAATCAGTTTTCCTGATTTTGAGCTGACGCTCACACAAATATTGATTTTTATATATTAGATATAGCAGAAATGATAATTCTGATTTAATTCAAATTCATTTCTTATTGATCTTTCAGTGAATTGTCAACCTGGCAATGAATTCAACAAGGCCACAAATACATGTGTTGCTTGTCCAATTGGAACCTACCAAAATAAGACCGGTGATCATCCCTGTGAGACTTGTCCTAAAAATTTCATAACTGCTACAGTAGGAGTTAGTAATATATTTGATTGTTCTGTTTGTAAGTACAGTTCTTCAATTTCTTTCTTGAAACTAGGTTTGGCATAAGGTCAATTTTAAGGAGGTCTCTAGACAATTTTGTTTTTATAATATATTATTTTCGCATAGGTTGATCAACCTGAATGTAAATATATATATACACACACACACAGTGCAATGGGTAAATTGTTATCATTTTATATTTTTAATTTCACACATGCGAGTTGTTTGTTTTTGACTTTGTCATCTGCACAGTATAGTATGATCAGTTCGGCACCATCTGTAGGAAAAAGAGCACCATGATGCAATTCACTCCATTAGAAATTTGGAAATGGCATGCTGTGCTGCTTGGCATTTACACCAGAAGCTCCAATACAAACATGTCAGAATGTTTGGGTGTCAATCTGAGGACAGTGCAGAGGATTCGAAATGGTGATTATGAAGGCAGCTCGGGAAACTCACTCTGATCATTTTAAGAACTCCCAAATTTGTTGGTGAGGGCCCTAGACTCAACACAAAGGCCTACATAAAGTGCCTTGAGGAGGTAGTGCTGCCCTAGGTCAAGAAAGTGGCTGCTGGAAGATTTCATGTCTGGCAACAGGACTCTGCATCATGCCACACCAGCAAGATAACCCAGTCATGACTGTCAGACAATTTCTGTGACCACATCACCTCTGGCCACCTAACTCCCCCGACTGCAACCTCCTTGATTATTATATGTGGAGTGCAGTTGATTATTGTTGAGCGAGAGGCAACAAAACTCCTTGTAACACCAAAGATGAATTGAAGGCAAGGATTATGACAAAATTCACCAACTTAAGACCATCCAAAAGAGATGCAAGAGATTCCAAAATTGTCTGGATGCCATGGTTGAAGCCAATGGCGATTTTATTGAATAAATTTACTCTTTTGTATTTCAAGATATATTTGTGTAATTTTAGTAAATATATCTGTTAAAATGAGATGTCCGTGTTGTTTTCACTTTTGCATAAATTCAACGACAATTTATCCATCGCACTATTTACGTCCTTGCATATCCTTTGATACTGTTACCTTTATTTTTATATATATATATATATATATATATATATATATATATTTTAAAAAAATTTATAACATAAATATGTTATAAAATCACTACAAAAATAGCCATTTTGTTTCAACACCTTCGGTGTCTTATCAAGTGATGATGTTGAGTATAAAATAAATGGTTTTAAAAGTTTCAAATTAACAATCCTTCACAAGGGGAAAACGTTGTTACAAAAGCTAGATTGACCAATCAAAATACAAGTATAGGAAAATTCAAAAAGCTTGACAACAAAGTCAACATCATCACTTGATAAGACACCGAGGTTGTTGAAACAAAATGGCTATATTTGTAGTGATTTTATAACATATTTATGTTATAAATTTTTTTAAATAAATAATTATATCTGCTCTACTTTGTATTGAGCACTCTTTTAAGAATAGTAATCGTTGGTTATTGGAATTCATTCCATATACACCAATCATATATTTGTGTGTATATATATATATATATATATATATATATATAAAAATATATAGTTTTAAGGTATGCTATATTTATAGGTAAATATTATAGAACATCTGTAAATATAAAAGTGGACACTGAAGTCATCACCGACAGTCTCTTTCACACTTGTACACAGTCTTCAGGCTGATGGCTAGAAATTTACATGAAACAGACTATTGGCAGATGGTGTTGACCTCAGTGCCCACTTACATACAATAAATTACTTAGAAATTATATATATATATATATATATATATTTTATTTGAGGATATTACACCAAAAACACTACACGAATGCAATCATGTTTCAATGTATATCAACACATCTCATCAGGTGTTAGAATTGGATTCTATTTGTTCTCATTTCACACACACACACACACATATATATATATATATATATATATATATATATATATATATATCTTTTGAATTGATTTACATTTCAGACATAAAACTGAGCAGATATGAGTTTTAAGAAAAATCTGAAGGAATGAATGTGCTTTAAAAGCAAAATACCCTGTGGGTGGTGAACAAACATAAATGTGCCTGAGCAGGCGTCTGCAACAGGGATTGAATAGCCACCCTAGTAAGCAGCATACTCTGATACAAGCAGTCAGCTATTATATATATCAGAAAAATTAATAATGAAGTAGGGAAATGTTTTTTTGTCTGCCGCATTTCGTTCTTTCAGACTTTGGTGGACCAAAATGATATTTACATTGATGTAACTACATGTGCACATGAAGGAAAGGGATGCTGAAACTTTTTTAACTTTTAAATTTAATTCTTTTCTTTTTTTTTTTTCATATACACTACTAACCAAAAGTTTTGAACCACATTGATTTTTTTTTCCTCTAAACTTAAAAAATAAATTAAGTTTCATGTCTTTAAAAAAGCAAATTTATTTTTTCTATATTTGCATGCAATTATAAGCAAGATTTTAAATCATAATAAATATAAAATAATTATAATTTCAATTAAAGCAAATTTATATTTTCTTTTCATCAAAGAATACACCACGTGCATTTATTACTGCAGGACAAATTCTTGGTATCCTTTCTAGTAACTTGTAAAAGAGTCTGTTGGAAATGATTCCCAAGCATGGATTTTATGTTCAATTTCCTCACAGACTCGTTCAATTATTGAAAGATTTGGAGACTGAGGGTAGAGGCAAGTCATGATTTGCAAAATTCCATTATCTTTCTTTGATTTTAGATAATTTGTACACAGTTTTGAGCTGTATTTTGGATCATTATCTTGTTACAAGACATATTTTTGTCCAATAATGCGGCAGCCAGAATGAATTTTTATGAAATTTTACGAACTTAGAGAAACAATTCAAGGTGGTCCTAAACTTTTGATTGATATTGTATATATGTGTGTGAGTAAATAGCCAAGCTAATTTCATTTAGTTTCTATTTTAATCACATTTGTTATTAAATATCCCACATTATAAATAGATCTGCGAAGAAAAGCAAAATATTGTAAGAACCTGAATGTAAATTTACTGTGGATAATCTAGAGCAGCAGTCTTCAACCATTCAGCTACAGACCATCTGATACCAAATCATGAACCATTTGTTTTGAATGACACTGGTCTGTGGCTCAAAAAGGTTGGGGTCTGCTGATCTAGAGATTAAAACACTTTCATTTTAGTAAATTGCTTTCTCCCTTAATTAAGGTAGCATTTTTTTAAATAGAAATTCTTGTTTGACTAATGACACATGTACACGAAAGAGGGAATGCTGAAATTTTAAACTTTTTATTTTTTTTTTTTAGTGTGTTCAGCTATATAGTCTCATCAATTTTATTTAGATTCTTTTTTCTTTTTTGTCCATTTTGATCACTTTTGTTATTAACTATTCCACATAGTGATAATAAAATTGATAAGATGAGAAATGTGAAATGTCATAAGCACCTGGACGTAAATTTACTGTGGACGATCTAGTATACTCTATAATCTGTACTCCATACAGTATAACCCCATACTCTATACGTCATACTCTATAATCTGTACTCCATACAGTATAACCCCATACTCTCTACGTCATACTCTATAGTCTGTACTCTTTATTCTATATCAATGTTTCTGAACCTTTTTAAGCAACAGCACACCTAGGAGGAAATGGAAACATCATGGCACACTTAGCAAAGTTTTTAAAGTATTAAAATGCTATGAAATAAAAACATAGATTTTTTTTTAAAAAAATACACACCCAAATATGAACTTAGTTAAATTAAAATACTTTTTAAAAATGAATATTAAAACAAATTATTTAAAATCACATAATCGAAGAATAGTGAAAAGAATTATTTGAAAAAAATTTCGTACTTATTCACTTATTTAAATACAAACACTGTACCATTACTACTCCCACATAACGCACACATATATATATATATATATATATATATATATATATATGCTGTGATAATATTTCACGGCACACTTAAGAGGATTGACAATCACTGCTCTATACTCTTTATTCTGTATTCTATACTCTTTCATTTGAGTAATTTGCTTTCTATTTAGCATGTTTTAAATCAAAATTATGGTCAGACTCATTATGGGGAAAACTAATGTATTTAGTGTGTTGTTTTGTAAAAGATCCCGTTTTTGTTCATATAATCTTTTTTAATTCTTTGAGGTTTCTCTGATGTATTCCTTGTGGTAATTATTACAGGTGATAGAGTAAATTTCTTCTTAAAGTTTTAGTATATTTGTTTCGTATTAAGTCTTTTATTATTTTAGAAGTAATTATAACAAATTTTCTGTTGAGTTCAGATAAATTCCTTTCAATTGTGTTAGGGTTGATAGGTAGAACAATATATTTTGATTCATTGGGTTTGTCAAAATGGACTGCTTTTCTTTTTGAAATGTTTCTTTTCTTTTGCATATATAGTCTAGCCAATTTCATTTAGTTTCTTTTTATTGATATTTTTATCACTTTTGTTATGAAGTATCCAATGTTGTGATGTACAAAGAAAGGTGAAAGGTTGTAAGAGACTGGACAAAAATTTACTGTCGATGATCTTAGTGAATTGCTTTCTCAGCCATGTTTGATCAATGAGGAAAGGACCATTGGTAAAAGAATTCATCATTTTATAATGTATGTTATTGTGCCTCCCACTACTACCATAACAGTAAAAGAGGGTGGTACGTAATTACATCTACCTCATTCTCTCTCTCTCTGTCTGTTCACATCTACATCTCTTCTCATTCTCTCTCTCTGTCTGTCTGTTTTGTTTTGTTTTTTTTTTTTTTTTTTTTTTTTTTAAGTGTTTCACCCCAAGTAAGGCAGGAAGCCACTAGGACGCAAGGGGTTACAGAAAATTTGGAGCAAGATCAGATAGGAGTGATAGAAGAAAGGATGAGGTTTACATCTCTTCTCATTCTCTCTCTCTCTGTCTGTTCACATCTACATCTCTTATTCTCTCTGCCTTTCATTCATCAACTGATCAATGATTGATTCTTTTCCTTTCATTTGCAGTACATTGCTCACCAGGTTACTACAATCAGAGTACAGATTCATGTAGACCATGTGCAAAAGGAACATTCAAGTCTCAGTCTGGAAATACACCATGTAAAAGTTGTTCTAACCCAGCCTACACAACACCATTAACAGGCAGTACCAGTGACATTAATTGTACTGTAGGTAAGTAGAATATACTAAGGTTTACTGCTATGTCTTCATTCACTTTATTGCTTCATACCAAATGAGGTGAAAAATTATTTTTTTATACAAATAAAATCATCTACTTTAACTTTAAATTCAATCATTTTCAAAGTGGAACACTTTTTTTTGATAACAATTAAAAGTAATGTTGAAAGTTGCTGTTATAGACAAGCGTATGGTTGCAAGAAAGAAATACGACAACAGCAGAAATAGATTTACATGGTTTATTTCAACAGGAACGTGAGGGTTTGGGACAGCTACCTTGTGGTATATAGTTCATAAGCTGGCTTTGGATCTAGGTCGATCTCTCATAGTAGTTCACACATGTTGATGGTGGTTGATGCTCTCCTGCTGCTGATCGCTCGGCCTGACCGTGACAGGTCTGTTTTGCGGCCACCTGTGGACTGCCCGTTGAACTTCCGTGTGACCCCTTTTATAGCGTTTTTTTTATGGCTTAACAGGCTCGAAAAACGAAATGAGTATAATTAGGAGGGAAGCATTTTTATTGGACGAAAAATAGAGCACTTTAAATATTATTTTATTTTTCAACTGGAACACATGTGTCGGGAACATTTGTAAAAAAAAGATAATGGTCATTTTGTGACAGGGCTTTGTCCTGTTTACATCCGGTTCTCACTCTTGAGTATTTGCCTGTAAATCAGCCGAGATATGTCTTATTTTATTTTAAAACATTGCTCTGGATTTAGCCATGATTTTCTTCCATTTGGATTCTCATAATAAATTTTTATTACCCCTGCTTTTCTTCACCAAAGATGAATTGAGTTCATCCATGCCAAGCAACAAAAGAAAGTCTATTTCAATGGCCACTAATGTTAAGTTTCCTAAACTGTCAGTAGTGCGCGCACACACACACACACACACACGCATGTTCAGAAAAGTGAGCATGGTCTGATTGTGACCATTCCTTAAGCACAAAGTTTGGCATCTACAAAACAGTTGTCCTTGCCACAATTTATATTCCTCTGAAGGGTGGATCACCTATCAAAAACATCAATGCCTGAAATGGTTAGTTATCATTGGTTGACTTTTACTTTGTTCTTGTTAAGTATTTATTTGCTGTTGTAATTAAATACTGTTTGATTTAACATTGAAGTCTTGAGTTATACTTAATTATTTGTGGACACCATATGTTACAAAAATTAGAGGTAATATTAGGACTTTGCCGTTTTCCAACAGATGGCATTCCCAGAACTGCATGTCATTTCACTAAAGTGTAAACAACTTTATTTTTCATAGCATTAAACATGTCAGATTTCGTGCCAAACAAAGTGTATTTGCAGGGAATTATACTGCACTACTTTATTCAAAAGAAATCTGCAGCTGAAGTGCACAGAATTCTTCCTGAGACTTATGGTGACCATGCTCTATCAGAAACAACATGCAGAGATTGGTTTAGACACTTCAAAAATAATCATTTTTAGGTTGAAGACAAAGAATTGGAGGCATTACCTCATGAAGGTTCATGTCAGGCACAAGTTGAACTTGCAGAATCATTAGGGACTGATCACACAACAGTTTTGAAATGTTTGAAAGCATTAGGAATGATTCAAAAACAAGTGCATTGGGTGCCATATGAGTTGAAGCCGAGGGACGTTGAAAGGCGTCTTGTTATGTGTGAAAAGCTGCTTCAGAAAAGGAAAGTTTTTTTGCATCGTATCATGACTGGCAATGAAAAGTAGATACACTACAATAACCCTAAGCCTAGAAGATCATGGGGTAAGCCCAGCCATACATCAACATTGGCAGAAAAGCCAAATGTCCATGGTTTGAAGCTTCTGCTCTGCATTTGGTGGGATCAGCTGGGTGTAGTTGACTGAAACCATCACAAGAGGTCACTATCTGCTGGGAACCATCACAGGAGGTCACAATTGGCTACAATTGATACATTTGGGCTTAGCATTGGAGAAAAAAAAGGGACTATATGAGAAGAGACATGATAAAGTGATTTTGCAACATGACAATGCAAGGACACATGTTGCAAAATGGGTGAAAACCTACTTGGAAACACTTAAATTAGAAGTCTTACCCCACCCACTGTTTTTAACAGACATTGCCCCGTCCGATTAACACTTGTTCTGATCGATGGCACATGGCCTGACTGAGCAGAACTTTCATTCTTATAAAGATGACAAAAAATTGGTCACCATGTGGTTAGCCTCAAAAGACAGGTCATTTTTTTGATATTGAATTCAAATACTGGCAGAAAGATGGTAAAAAGTAGTGGCTAGTAATGGACACTAATTTCAGTGATATGTTTCTTACTAATTTTTGTAAATAAAACATTACTTTTCATGAAAAATCAACAAGAACTTATTCAAGGTCTTAATAAAAAGATTTTCAGTTTAATTCAAATTCATTTCTTATTGATCTTTCAGTGAATTGTCAACCTGGCTATAGATTCAACAACACGGCAGATACATGCGTTGCTTGTCCAATTGGAACTTACCAAAATAAAATTGGTGATCATCCCTGTGAGGATTGTCCTAAACATTTCATAACTGCAACAGAAGGAACTAGTAATATATCTGATTGTTCTGTTTGTAAGTACAAGTCTTCAATTTTTTTTTTGAAACCAAGTTTGGCATGAGGTTAATTTTAATGAGCTCTGCGGCCAACTTTTAGAATATATTAGGCCTCTTGCATCACTTTTGTTTTTCAAGTTGCTCGATCAACCAGAATGGAAATATTTTTGTAAGCATCCTTTGCACAATGCTGCTGTGTGTGTGTGTGTGTGTGTATATATATATATATATATATATATATATATATATATATATATATATATATATATATATATATATATTTAGTGGATTTTAGTAGACATTTCTGCTTTTTAAACAGTGTAATTTTCATCTACCAGCCTGGGTTTTTAGAGTCTTCAGTAAAGAAAATGTGACAAATCTGCATCTCTTTTAGGTAGGGTATTGTACAAGATAGACCCGACAAAGCAAGTCTCAGATATTTTATGAAAGAAAGCTCATCTAATTAGAGTTTATCAAAGCAAAGGTGATGTAGATTCAAAACCTACTAAAGTGTACATTTACTTTCTTAGACTGTTGAAATCCAGTGCTGGTAGGCAACAATTGCAGCATTTAAAAACCAATGTTAACTACTCACATATATCCACTAAATATATCAGTTATTGTAATAAGAAATTCTATTGTATTATGTTGAGATGTTGAGTGTTTCCGTGCGCGTGTATTGAAATAAGGACAAACACATACATAGGGAAAAATACTGGTATATCTGAAGAGGTATTTACAACAGAGAGATTAGTAGTCAAACAAACGCAGGTTAGTCAGTAACAATCAGAAAGAGTATGAAGTCCAACTGTATCTTCCGGTAGAGAGACGGAAGTGTGATGGTCACCTGATCTCCCAGAACTCTATAGAACTGTCCTATTAGTAGTAGAGAGATCAGTCCATTCTGATGAGAAGGTGGGTGCCCCCCAACAATTATAAATAAAAATTCATTCATTCCTTAGATATTTATCTATACGAGATTTGCATGCATATATGTGATATCTCGAGTACATATTCATATGGAGGGTGCGAGGGATAAATTGTCATCTATATTATGCAAAAATGAAAATAAAACTGACATTTCATTTTAACAAATATATTTACCTAAATTACACAAAAATATCTTGTAATAGTAAATTTATTCAATAAAATCACCATTGTCTTCAACCATGGCCTCCAAACCATTTCAGAATCTCTTGCATCTCTTCTTGGATGGTCTCCGTGTTTAAGTTGGTGAATTCTACCATAATCCTTACCTTCAATTTATCTTTGCTGTTACAAGGAGTTTTGTTGATCTTTTACTCGACTGCACTCCACATATAATAATCAAGGGGGTTGCAGTCTGGGGAGTTAGGTGGCCAGATGTAAAAGGTGATATGGTCACAGAAATTGTCTGACAGTCATGACTAGGTTCTCCTGCATATGTGGCATGGTGCAGAGTCCTGTTGCCAGGCATAAGGTCTTCTAGCAGTCACCCTCTTGACCCAGGGTAGCACTACCTCCTCAAGGCACTTTATGTAGGTTTCCATGGTGAAGATGTATGAAGGCATAACAACACCATCACTAGTGATCACTCTGAACACCTTCATAATAACCATTAGTCTCATCCAACTCTTTGCAAATCTTCTGCACTGTCCTCAGATTGACACCCAAACACTCCGAAATGTTCGTATTGGAGTTTCCAGCACAAGTGTCATGCAGTACAGCATGCCATTTCCAAATTTCTGGCAAAGTGAATTGCGTCATGATGCTCTTTTCCTCACAGATGGTACCCAACTGAATCTACTATACTGTCCAGTCAAAAAAATCAAAAGCAAACAACATGCATGAACAAAATTAAAAATATATATTATAGCGACAATTTATCCATCGCACCCTGTACATAATCAGATTCTGCATATACGAGATATTTTGACTTGGTTGTATACTTGTGTCTGTATTACACGTTTCTCTTATATATATATATATATATATATATATATATATATATATATATATATAATTTAAAAATATTAAACACTAATATTCCATGGTGGGTAATTTATTCCATTGGAATGAATAAAATTATCCAATTCATCAGACCTACAAATTCAAAATCTGATGAATTGGATCGTATTTATGATTCCAATGGAATAAATTATGACCATGGAATATTAGTGTTTAAGCCTTTTTATTATATCCTTACTCTGTCCTAGACATTGAGTTCTACCTGGATTCTTCCTCTTGGAAATTATTTTTCTGAAAATATACATGTATGGGTATTTATATATTTTGCATATGTATGTATATTTTCCACTAATATTATCTATATATATATATATATATATATATATATATATATATATATATATAGCTCATAATTGTTTCTTTTTTAATCATTTCACCCCAAGCAAGGCAATGAAGCCACTAAGATGCAAGGGCTTACTGAATGTTAGAGAATATGAGAAAAATACAATTAAAGAAAGAACAATGAAAGAACAAGACTTAAGAAGACGGAAGATAACAGTTGACATTGCATTTAAATTTTTGAAAAGCAAAGTTGACTGGGAAGGAAGAAGCCATAAAAGACTTCCAAAATTGAAAAGTGCGAGAGAAGAAACCATTTCAACTCTAAAATGATGAGATTTTGCCACCAGTCTAGTACTGCGTTTAAATTCATAAAGTCTCGATACCATAGAAGAAACTTCATGAGAACAATTATCATGAAAGTATTTATAGAAATGACATTGGGAAGTTACATTATAGCAGTGGGAAAATGACTGAATGTGAGATGCCAGGTCAGGACCAATAATATTGCAGATTCTTCTTTGGATTTTATCAGGAATCTCTAAATATATAGCAGGACCACCAGACCAAATGTAGCAGCAATATTCAAAGCAAGAACAAATGATAAACTTATAAATATGTAAAATAGGCTCTGGCAAGAAAAATTGTCTGACACAATATGGGCAGCCAACTTTCCTAACAGCAGATCTAGCAATTGATTTATATGACAAACAAATCCTCAAATATACAGTTCTTCGGAAGTTATTATGCAAATCACAGAAACCTCAATAACTTGAATTTGCTTTGAAAAATTTTAAACAGTTAATTTAAACATCAAAACTTGAGTTAAATATTTAGGTATTTCAACATGTTTTATTAAAGTTAATGGAATTATTATAAAAATTGCAGTTTGAAGTTATGCTAAACCAGAAAATCACTTTGTACTTCGATAACAAAGTAATAAAATCAATACTTGATCAATATGTATAATAGAATAAATATCAAAAATAAGTCTTTCAAGCTTTTACATCTTAATATAGTGAACCTTGTTCTGAAGAACAGTCAGCAATCTATTATCCATTAATTTTGTTAAATTGTTTACTTGAGCAGATTCAGTTTCCAACATGATGGTTTGAGTAACTTTCAATAGGTTTGCTTTGATGTCATATTGTTTGTCACCTTCATATAATTCACAATTGAGCATCAGATTCACATCAGGATTTGATAGTGGCCATTCCATTATCATCTCTCTTGTGTTACAGACAATTACCGCATCATAAAATTTAAAAGATAAAATAAAATGACTTACTGCCTAGAAGACACCAGGTTTACCACTTCGTAGTAAATGGATCCTCTACAAGGTTAGACACATGAATGAGGAACGACAACCAACAGTAACGAACAACAAATACCAATATACAAATTAACGAGATTTAATTATAATTAGATAATACATGAAAACATTAATGCACGAGAATGCATGGAAAGAAGTGTGCTTCTTTTCTGTGGGGAAAGTTGTATGCATTATATTTTGAGATTAAATGGTGAAACAATCGCTTAGCTTCAGTTTTTCACCTGAAATAGGGTTTTCTCTTTTTCCCTTTTCTCTCTCAGTGAAAAAAGGAGAATAGATTAAATGATACTGTTGCTTGAGCGAACAAACTGAACTAAAAGAACAAAGAAAAATATAAAACAAGAGAAAGTTTTATATTTCTCTTTGTTCTTTTAGTTCAGTTTGTTCGCTCAAGCAACAGTATCATTTAATCTATTCTCCTTTTTTCACTGTTATTAGTTTTGACCCCAGAAACTCATTATTTACTCACTACTTCTTATATTAAGCAATATAGAATTTGTTAAGATATGAAGATTTGGCCCTGTGTATGTTGTTTATTCAACCATGTAGAATTTACTATTTGGATCCTTCATCCAATTGAGTGGGTCACACATGCCAGTCTTAGGTGACTGTCACGCTTAGTAATTCACCTATGTATTTGATATAAGCATGTTGAGTTGAATCGGAATTTGTCTTCATGTGATTTCCTTTTCTTGATGGTAGCAAGTGAAAAGAGACATTGTTCGACACAAGACATGGTTCGAAATTTATTTTCTACTGGAAGTTTGTATGAGTTGGCGATAACATTCCTTCTCAGTAAATCCATTTGTATGACAGTTTCATGGATGGTCTGACACTTTCAAGTTTCTTTGCACCGACTGATATTCAGCTAATATTTCCTGCTCAATGTTCGTACTTGCTCACGTGATTCTGCATGTGTGAGAATCTACTTTTAGCTTCTATTCAGATCTGTTGCTGAAGTCTGACCTAATTGTTTTTTCATCAGCGACTTCCATTACAGATTGAAAGAGAGAGGGGGAGTTAATAAAGATGTTGAAAGAGAGATGGTTTGCTAAGTGTAAAATGTGTGTGGTTTAGGAGTTTTGGTTTCATAAGTCCATAATACTAGTCAACCTTATACACTCAAAAATGCCATGGGTAACTTTAGATACATAAGAACATTTTTGTGCATAAATACATATTTCACTTTGAAACTGTAAGGCTGGGATTTGTTGGTGAATAGGTTGTTTTTCTTATGCACATCGACAATCACCAAAATGTTGTGGTCGTTCACTGACATCATAGCAGCAGAAATTAGTTTATTATTCACAGAGATAAAACCATATTTGACAGAAAATAAAACATGCAGAAATAAAAGGCAAAGCATGGGAAATTGTATGTTAATTTCATACAATTTATTTATGCTTTTGTGTGTATCAGTGTGTGTATTGTTTTAGGTTACAATTGTTTTATAGTACATGTGATAAAAGGGAGAATTTACTCCATAGTGTTACAATCCATATCACAGAGAAATGTTGGACAAGTGTTGTTAAGGTTTGTGGTGAAGAGATTGAATTTAACATCTTTTCACGGGATGTCCATATTTCCAGTAGGAACAGTTTTTGTTGCATGCTGGGAGAAGTTTTATCATTTTAAATTTTTATTTAATATATTTAATGTTTTTATGTTATTGTTTTATTTTATTTGTAATTTTCATTATTATTTTATTTTTATTTATAATAATAATATTCCTATAGACTTGTACTATTCAGAATAACTCTTATCCATGAAATCACAATATTCAATAGTGTTCAGTTCATAGACTTTGACTAGCCCAGTAATGTTTTAGTCAACAATTCCATCCCACATCATCACACTCCCACCTCTTAACAGCTGCTTTTTAGCCACAGGCACATACAATGGATAAAATCCACCCTTTAACCCATTCATCAGGTCTATCAAGCGTCACCTGAGATTCATCCATGAAAATTACTTTAGAAATGTCAATTCCATGTATTTCTTGGCCCAGTTTTGGTACTTTAAAATATTTGCTTTACTGAGAGGAGTTTGCTTCAGATATTTCTTGACAGATCCAATTTGTGAGGTATTCTACAACTTTTGTCATTGACTCCCTTAATTCTAGCCTGTTCAAAGTTCTGAGTACTGGTCAGAAGCAAGTGTTTTGCTATAACATGCTATAAGGAGAAATGTTCTTAAAGCTTTTACCTTTGCTTCTAGTTCTCAACTTAGATTTCTAACTGCCTTCATTATCATTTGATGATCTCTGCAAAGCTCCTTTGATATCTCCAATTTTCAGCATTTATTAGATCCTTTCCATTACAAATGTTTCAACATATAGAGAGAAAAAATGTTTCAGAGGCCTTAATCTAATCTTCATAACTTCAAACTTCAAGTTTATAATAAACCCAGTAACTTTAATACATGTTGAAACTATTTAAAAATTTGATTAAAGCTTTGTTTTAATGTCTAAATTAATCTTTTAAAATTTTACAAAAAATCTTCAAAGAAAATCTTCAGATGAGCTGTACATATGAAATGAATTTAGAATGAGTCACATTTTTCATTTCCTTTGTATTCAATCTCTTTATCTGTTCATATCTACTTCTCTCTTTTGTTTATCTCTCTCTCTCTCTCTGTTCATATCTACCTCTCTCCACATTCTCACTCACTCTGTTCATATCTACCTCTCTTTTCATTCTCTTTCTCTGTTCATATCTACCTCCCTCTTTGTCTCCTCTGTTCATATCTACCTCTCTCTCTTTGTCTCCTCTGTTCATATCTACCTCTCTCTCTTTGTCTCCTCTGTTCATATATCTACCTCTCTCTTTTCTCTCCTCTGTTCATATCTACCTCTCTCTCTTTGTCTCCTCTGTTCATATCTACCTCTCTCTCTTTGTCTCCTCTGTTCATATCTACCTCTCTCTCTTTGTCTCCTCTGTTCATATCTACCTCTCTCTCTTTGTCTCCTCTGTTCATATCTACCTCTCTCTCTTTGTCTCCTCTCTGTTCCTCTGTTCATCTACCTCTCTCTTTTTGTCTCCTCTGTTCATATCTACCTCTCTCTTTTTGTCTCCTCTGTTCATATCTACCTCTCTCTCTTTGTCTCCTCTGTTCATATCTACCTCTCTCTCTTTGTCTCCTCTGTTCATATCTACCTCTCTCTCTTTGTCTCCTCTGTTCATATCTACCTGTCTACTGCTTAATTAATTCTTTTCTTTTACTTTCCAGTGCATTGCTTACCAGGTTATTACAATCAAAGTGCATCATTGTGCAAACTCTGTGAAAAAGGAACATTCAAGTCTCAGTCTGGAAATACACCATGTAAAAGTTGTTCTAATCCAGCCTACACAACACCATTAACAGGCAGTACCAGTGACGTTAATTGTACTGTAGGTAAGTAGAATATACCAAGAATTCCTGCTATGTCTTCATTCAATTTGTTGTTTTGTAACAAATGAGGTGAAAGTTCGTTTTTTTTTTGGGGGGGGGTTGCACAAATAAAAATATTTACTTCAATCATTTTCAAATTTTTTTAACAATTAAGTGGTGAGAGATCATCCTGATGGCAAATTAATTTCTTATATAGAAGATTCATTAATATTTCAGATTTATGAAAATAATAGATAATATAAGATCAGATATATTGTGACAATCTTTTCTCCTAAATAGATTCCATTTACATTGAGATGTTGAAACATCTCCATAATGAAAGAATTAGTTGGAAAAAAATAACTGATGCTGAGAGATGTAAATGATAAAAGCCCATAATATTTTACATAATGTTGGCATGCACACAAACATGGAAATCATTAACTAACTTTATATGTACATAATTAATATTCCTGATTTTGTAAATATGTACACACAAACTTTGAGCTTTATGTATTAGATCTAGCCGAAATTATGGTTTCAGTTTAATTCAAATTCATTTCTTATTGATCTTTCAGTGAATTGTCAAACCGGCTATAGATTCAATAACACGGCAGATACATGCGTTGCTTGTCCAATTGGAACTTACCAAAATAAAATTGGTGATCATCCCTGTGAAGATTGTCCTAGAAATTTCATAACTGCAACAGAAGGAATTAGTAATATATCTGATTGTTCTGTTTGTAAGTACAAGTTTTCAATTTTCTTGAAATGAAGTTTGGCATGAGGTCAATTTTAATGAGCTCTCTGGACAACTTTGCTTTTAGAATATATTAGGCCTCTTGCATCACTTTTGTTCTTGAAATTGCTCAATCCACCTGAATGTAAATATTTTTGTAAATATTCTTGTACAATGCTGCCTTTCATGTTCATGTGTACATGTGTGTGTATATATATATATATATATAACAAACTCATATACATTTTTTTTTCAATTATTTCATCCAAAGTAAGGCAATAAAGCTACTAAGACACAAAGGATTACTCAGTAATATATTTGATTGTTCTGTTTGTAAGTGTAGTTCTTCAATTTCCTTTTTGAAACCAATTTTGGCATGAGGTCAGGAGCTCTCTGGACAACTTTGCTTTCTTAATAAACTATGTTTTGCTTCATTTTTGGTTTTCAAATTGATCACTTAAATTGCATATCCTTTGACAGTGCTGTCAAATCCCTGCAGCTGATCAATGAGTTGAGTGCTTCATAAGTTAAACATGACAATTTGGTGGTTTAGCTAAGACTGAACAAGGCTTCAGGCAAAAAGTCATGTGAGATCAAGTGGTTGTCTCCTATCTGGAACAACACTGTCTTGGCCACTTCGATCTTCTGTTTATATGGACATTCACCTGAAACTGGCATGAGGTATGATGCAATCTGGGATTCTGGTAATTCCCCTAATTTCCAACAAGAGCCCGTTGTCTGGCTCTGGGAAACTAATTGCATGCCCAATTTTGGAGAGATTCCCTCTTTCATGAAGAGTAATTGGTAGCAGGATATCGATCCATCCCAACTCTTTCCTTCTCATTTTGGCACCTCTCACCAATACTTCCCAATGTGCATGGGCAATTCCTCCACTTTCTTTGATATTTCACCTGCACCTGCCACCTTGGCTACTCTTCAACCAATCTGACTCTTGACCACTTGGTGTGGCTTTAACCTATGGTCATTAATTAAAATTAACATTTGGATTTTTGTGTAAGCAAAATTTTCTCAGCCTGGTTTTGCTTAAAAATCAGAAATTTACCAGGTGGTTCTTCCAGCCAGCCATTCTCTATTCTACTAGGGTCATTGCAGCCTAGGTTACACAAAGACAACCTATTCATCTGAGCAAATCTTATCCATCCTACTTATATTGTTTTCATAACCAGTGCTTTCTTGAGCTGCCTTATTAATCAGCTGTCAGCTTAGATTACCACATGGCTTCTTTGTGATAATATCACTTTCCTTCAAATAATGTTTTCTGGTTCTTTTAAAAAATTAAGATTTTCTCTTTTGGAAAAGAGAAATCTTCCTTTCTCTGAATCTGTCCATCATTCTATTTGTTAACTCTTCTCACCTTGTCCTGAGCTATGTTTTTGATGTAACTCCTTTCTTTCCATTTACCAATGTCAAATAATGTCACAAGGATTTCATCGGACTAAATTTGTTATGTTGCTGCAACTATACACATGCATGAACAAGGGATGCTGAGAATTTTAAATTAAATTTTTTTATTATTATTATTATTTTCTTTAATCTAGCCGATTTCATTTAGATTGTTTTGCTTTTCCTTTCCATCACTTTTTTGGTAGGCATCCTGAACTGTGGTAATTGAAGTTCTACCAGGAAAGGTGAAATGTTGTAAGAGCCCAAGCGCAAATTTACTGTAGATGACCTTGTGATCCAGGCACACTCTAAACATTTACATCATAGTAAATTGTTTTTCTCCTTTGATCAGAGTACCATTTTTGATGTCAAAATTGTGGTCAGTTTTGTTGTGTTGGGTAACCAACATATTCAATGTATTGTTTTGTAACATGTCTCTTTTTTTCTTTTCTTTTTTTTTTTCTTTTTTTTTTCTTTTTTTAACAAAAAAATGTTTTTAATTTAAAATTCCCAGTATCCCTCATTCATGCAGATGTGTAGTTGCACCAACAAAACAAATTTATCTCCATGATGTCCTGAAGGTTGAAACATATCACAACTTTTTCATACATTTTCACCAATACCGTCCTTGATATATAAAAATATGTATCGTTATCTCTTTCACTCTATAAACCTAGTGAGCCAGACAAACCTACTCAGGTTTCACCTAAGCGGATCATCAGGGAAAGCTGGCTAAAGAGGCAAAAGAGAAACGCATATTTATAGGCAATAGCCAAAAACTTAGTTTTAACAGTAACTTAGTTACTGTTGCATGCCTAATGTAGGGACCTTAATTAGTGGATTGAATAAGAAAAAACTAGGGATAATCCATGCAGTAGCCCTCCTAGTTGTAATTGTAGGAACAAAAATATCTGCCCACTACAGGGAAAATGTCAGCAAGAATGCGTGGTTTACCAGGCGAAAATTTATAAGGATATGGAGGATACAAACCCTAAAATATACAGAGGTGCTACTCAGGATAATTTAAAAAAAAAAGATGCTATAACAACCCGAGTAGTTTTAAAAATGAAAAAAGTAAACATAGTACCACGCTATCCACCTATGTATGGAAAACTAGACAAGAAAACGACAAAGACCCCATCTTTAAATGGGAAATATTAAAAAAATGTCCAAGTATAAAGCAGGCCAAAAATTTTGTAAACTATGTACAGATGAGAAATTAGCCATAGCTTTATATAATCAACCAAACGATCTATTAAACTCCAAAACCGAAATTCTTAACATATGTAGGCATAAAAAATCTTGGTTACTGAATTAGGATGAATTTCCCCGTTTGTATTGTCATTCCACCTTTATTCTTCATGTTTTAATATCCCCTCCCCTTTTAGTTGCTGAATAAATCTTTAAACTCCCTCCCAACCCCCATCCCCACCCCCCGGTGTTCTTGTGTTTTTCTTTATCTTTGGTCACGTGGTATAATTTTGGCTATCACCTATAAATATGCATTTCTCTTTTGCCAGCTTTCCCTGACGATCCGCTTAGGCGAAACCTGGGTAGGTTTATCTGGCTCACTAGGTTTATCTAGGGCTGCTCTACGGTTGTATCGAGCTCTTTTGTTAGTTAGTTGTTTACTCATGTCAGGGTTTTTTCTTTGGGCTTCAAACCTGTATCTGTGCGATTTTTTTCGACAGACTTTCATGTTCCTAGCTCTTTCTTTTTTTAAAACCTTTTTTTCCTCGAGATTGATTTGATTTTTGGCAAATGAAAAATTCGAAGGTTTTTCGAAACGAGTATAGTTACTTATGTTTGTATATATATATATATATATATATATATATATATATATATATATATATATATATTTATATATAAATATATGTATGTTTGTGTTATGTCTATGATAAACTAGTAATTGTATTAGAGGTACAATTCTCAATAATTGAAAAATCACAAACATTATACTCTATACAAGCAAACTGTCAGTGCCTTCCAATATAAATGGTGCTGAGGTTATCTCATTCTTGTCAGAGAAGACAAAGATCTTCACAGTGAACTTTGCCTTTAACTCCACATCAGACAACAAGGGCCATGCCCTGTGTCATGATCTCCCTCTCACAAAGCACAATCTTCGTAATATGTGTCTCAGCTCCTGAAGTTTCCAGACTTGTCAAAATTCTTGAGTCTATGAAAACTATTGCTCCAGATAAAATCACTTGGTTGTACTTGAGAACCTTAACTCATCGCTATCTCCAACCTTGGCAAAGCTGATTACCCACTGCCAGAAGAATGTTTCCCAAACCCATAAAAGTTATATGTTTTGTTTACAAGTATGCAGGTGACTGCTCATCCCCTGCACTATATCAACCTATCATCCTCCATAGTATCATCAGTAAACTTTTGGCTATCAGCAAGAACTTTGTTGGTCATCTCAACAAAAACAACCTTCTTAGTGATAAATAGCGTTTTTTTTTTTTTTTGTTGTTGTTTTTTGTTTTTTGTTGTTGTTTTTTTGTTTTTTGTTGTTTTTTGTTGTTTTTTTTGTTTTGTTTTGTTTTTTTTTGTTTTGTTTTTTTTTTTTTGTTTTTTTTTGTTTTTTTTTTTTTTTTTTGTTTTGTTTTTTTTTTTTTTTTTTTTTTTTTTGTTTTTTGTTTTTTTGTTTTTTTTTTTTTTTTTTTTTTTTTTTTTTGTTTTTTTTTTTTTTTTTTTTTTTTTTTTTTTTTTTTTTTTTTTTTTTTTTTTTTTTTTTTTTTTTTTTTTTTTTTTTTTTTTTTTTTTTTGTTTTTTTTTTGTTTTGTTTATTTTTATTTTTTTTTTTTTTTTTTTTGTTTCTCTACGTCCACTGCTGATCTTGACTGCCATTAAGTATAGAATTTGAAATGCTTGATAATAAACATATCTCAAGAACATTTGCTTTAGATATCTCAAAGGTATTTGACAATGTGTGGTACAGTAGGTTACTATACAAACTCTCCAGATATGGAATCTTTAGCATTCCTCAGTATTGTTTGTTGTCATCACTAGAATTTCTTGTCATCCATTTGTACCTTTTTTGTCTAGTTTTCTTTTGAGGTGATCTCATCCACTGATGTCACTAGTGTTTCTCTCAGTGTGTTCCACTTTGACTTTGGATTTTCATTCATGTTATGTTCATTGTTTACATGTTTTACATGTCTCTTTGCAACTTGGGTCCTTCAAGAGGTTGCTTCCTTCTTTAGTTTCCGTTTTGTTTTACTCTGATGTAGCATTGGCACCTGACTGGAAGTTGGTCACTCCCACAGTTGACATTTAGGTATGGTTTGCAGTGTAGAACTGCATTCATACAATTAATTCTTTTCTTTTACTTTCCAGTGCATTGCTTACCAGGTTATTATAATCAGAGTGAATCATTGTGCAAACTCTGTGAAAAAGGAACATTCAAGTCTCAATCTGGAAATACTCCATGTAAAAGTTGTTCTAATCCAGCCTACACAACACCATTACCAGGCAGTACCAGTGACGTTAATTGTACTGTAGGTAAGTAGAATATACCAAGAATTCCTGCTATGTCTTCATTCACTTTGTCGGTTCATACCAAATGAGGTATGCTTACAGCCATATCATATTGAATCACCGATTACAGTACAGTTATCAAAGATAAGCAACGTCAAACCTGCTCAGTATCTAGATGGGTGACCACTTGGGAATACCAGTTGCTGTAAGCTTGGAGATGCAGAAGGTGTAATAAATAACAACTTGGAGTTGAAAATCGGGGAGCTGAGTTCCAATTCCTGTTGGGTTTGTTAACTTGTGCACAAATATTCTTGGGAAAGGTATGAATCCACATCTTCTCCCCCCAGATATGAGTTAATCATTAGGACTTGTACCCGTAAATCATGATTATCTCCAAAAAAAATTGTTATAATCTAAAAATCTTTTCTGGCTTTAAATAACCTGCAAAGAGTTGATAAACCATAGAAAACAAATTCATCAGTCAAATATTGATTAACTACACAGGTATATCTTTTAGATTTATTTCCATTCTCCGGGATATAAAGGTATATAAAGTGAGGGATCAGTTTATATAGTGGTTATAATATAGAATTGATCCCCTGCTTTATATCCATGATATAATTTCTTGTTTGTTGATCAAATTCTGATCAGGTAAGAATCTATCTTCTCACCCCCAGCTATGTATTGATTAGTAAGACTTGTATCACTAAACCATTATTATCAAAAAAAAAAAAAGTTCTTACAATTTAAAAATTTCTGGCTTTAAATAACCTTCAAAATGCTGATAAGTTGTAAAAAAAAAAAACTCGATAAAAAAACATTACTTTTCAAGTAAGAGCATCTGAAATGGAAAGTTTTCAAAGTTGCATTTTCATTGCACAAAAACTGAACTGAAAACTCAAATTTCAATAGATGAGACAATATTTTGTGTAAAAAAATATATTTATGCAATCAGATTGAGGTTGTAATTAGTTTCCATTAATGAAGCAGACAATGTAAATCTGGTCACTTATTGCGGAACAGACGAAGGAAATAACAAAGTACAGTGTTACTTAGAGTATTTACATAGCTTGGACTATTGTCATCATCCTTGTCATATTCACAACATTTCGGTTGTTGTACACTCTGGCCTTCTTCCAATCACCTGAAGAAGGTTGGAGCATACAATGGCTGAAATTTGTGAATATGACAACAAAGATGACAACAATAGTGCACACTATGTCAATACTGTAAATAATTACAATACGTCATCTCGGAAATATAAACAGACAATGTATAGTGTATTTCAAAAGTTTGACTTTTAAAGCTTCATATGACATTTCATCATCTCTATGAAGTCTAATCTGAGGAGGCTGTTTTTCTCTCTTTCTCTCACTCTCTCTCACAAACACACAATCATAGTCATTATAATGTTCACAATCTTTTCCTTAACTTCATAGTATGTGCATGGTGGTGCAGTGATTAGCGGCTCAGATTAAGGAATCAAAGCACAGTTCAAATTCCAGTTTGAGTTCATTACATTCACTTGCATGCTAATACTCTTGGGAAAGGTATGAATCTATATCTTCTCCCCCTCTCCCAGAAATGGGTAAATAGCAGGACAAACTAAGTCCTATAGCTTTGATTGGCAACCCGAGAAGGACTACTCTGAATTCAAAACCATAAATAGCCCTGACAAAGCACATACTATGCAACTCTGTGAAGTAAGAACGGGTAATTTAGACAAGATATATGATGCATTCTGGTAGATATAAATAAGAATAAATGCCTTTTGATATTAAAGTTTTCAATCCTATATGTATACATGCACACACAAATAAATCAATTACATTTATATATAGTTAATGACCGTCCAGATTACCTGCAGATGCACAAACAAACATTGAGTTTTATATATTAGATTAGTTTTGAGATTATATTTTCTATTTAATTCAGATGCATTTCTTATTGATCTTTCAGTGAATTGTCAACCCGGCTATAGATTCAATAACACGGCAGATACATGCGTTGCTTGTCCAATTGGAACTTACCAAAATAAAATTGGTGATCATCCCTGTGAGGATTGTCCTAAAAATTTCATAACTGCAACAGAAGGAACTAGTAATATATCTGATTGTTCTGTTTGTAAGTACAAGTCTTCAATTTTCTTTTTGAAACCAAGTTTGGCATGAGGTCAATTATAATAAGCTCTCCAGACAACTTTGCTTTGAGAATATATTAGGCCTCTTGCATCACTTTTGTTTTTCAAATTGTTCATTCAACCAGAACATAAATATTTTTGTAAGCATCCTTTGCACAATGTTGTTTTCGTGTGTATATATAACTCAAATATTTAGATCTTTTTTTAATTATTTCACCCCAACCATGGCAATAAAGCCACTAAGATGCAAGGGGTTACTAAGTTAATAATATATCTGATTGTTCTGTTTCTAAGTGTAGTTCTTCAGTTTCCTTTTTGAAACCAATTTTGGCATGAACTAAATTTTAAGGATTTCTCTGGACAATTTTGCTTTTACAATGTATTAGGCTTCTTGCATCATTTTTGGTTTTCATATTTGTCAATCAACCTTAATGTAGATATTTTTGAAAACTATACATTTTACCGCATTCTTTAACAGTGCTGCCTTTTATAAATCTATATGACACTCACACACATTTTTTAAACTTAGTTTATATATAAGATTTGTAAATATATATGTGATATATCTTATTATACAAAGTATGTGTGAAATACATATTAGTTGGTGTGTTATAAAGCCAGTATTTGTTTACTTGGATTTATCTTATGGCTGGCTAAATACCTGGATACTGGCTGCAAGAAATTAGTCTGTATGATTAAACTGACCCAATAATGAACATGGAGTAGTCTGCTGACCTCCCATTCCTTAAATTGACCTAAGGCTATTAGCAATTGCCAAAGGTCAATTTCACATGAAAACTGCTCTTTCCCGCAAAAGTTCCAAACAGGACATCTTTTTATGTAATACAACATAATCTAGAAATATATATTGGGTTGGTTTATAATTATCAGGCGTTTTTTGAATAATATTTATTATAAAAAAAGAAATGCAACAATTCAACAATAAAATTTTTAAATGATTATTCCCGAGAGTATGATTATCAACACACATTTTTATAACCTGAAAATAAAATATTTTTATTAAAAAAAAAGTAAACAGAACAGCAATTTTTATTAACAAATATCTCACTCACAAAAACGCCTAATAATTATGCACAAACCCAAAATATATACATATATATATATATACACACATATATATATATATATATTAAAATAAATTGTTGGAGGTACAGAACCATAATATTGCAAGGAATAGATACAAATTATTTCCTAAAGGCATCATGAAAAATAAAAATTAAGAGATGACAACACTTACAGAACAGACCAACTGGTTTCGTTCCCAAGCTCATCAGGGTTGACTGGGAACAATTTAACAATTATTGCAATATATATTGACTCACACAAACACCCTACATACAATTAAAACATTAAAAAATGAAATGATTAATGGTATGAGGGGGGAAAAAAAAAGAAAATTTCAAACTGTACAAATTTGCACAGCACAAAAAGGAAAAAAAGGGGGGAGTGTGAGGTGAATGTATGATACACACTAGAGTCTAATAACATGAAGCCCAAAGAGACAGTCTTTTTGCTTGCTTGAGACGGTTCCCTGGACCGAATATGCAGAGACTCAAGTGCCCGCAAATGAAATGGAGAGTGCGAACTGGACAGTACAGTAAAGCAATTTGGACTGAAATCCTTCACACAATCCCTGCAATTTATCAAATGTTCAGTGATTGCTGACCCGGAAGTATTAACCAACTGGCTCTTACAGGCATCCGGATTAAGAACTTGCAATGGGACATGCTGCATGATCTTACAATCTAAATGTTGGGAAGTCCTTCCTATGTAGTTGCTACTGCAATCACATTTAAAAGAATAAATCACCAAAGAAACATGATGGGGAGGAAGAGGATCCTTACACATAGAGGAAAAGGCAGAACGAGTCGCAAAATGACAGCAGACAAGACCCGCCTAGCCACAAGCTCGCCAATAAAAGGAAGCCGCAAGTACTCTAGTGTGTATCATGCATTCCCCTCACTTTTTTTTCCCTTTGTGCTGTGCAAATTCGTACAGTTTGAATTTTTTTTTTCCCCTCATACCATTAATCATTTCATTTTTTAATGTTTTAATTGTATGTAGGGTGTTTGTGTGAGTCAATATATATTGCAATAATTGTTAAATTGTTCCCAGTCAACCCTGATGAGCTAGGGAACGAAACCAGTTGGTCTGTTCTGTAAGTGTTATCATCTCTTATTTTTTATTTTTCATGATGCCTTTAGGAAATAATTTGTATCTATTCCTTGCAAAATATATATATATATATATATATACACACACACACACACACACACACACAGAGGTATCCCCCATAAAATTAACTTCATTTAATATGTGAATATTCAAGTAACTACATGTCCCAGACAAACAAAATTAAATAGGCTTCATTTATTTATCAAAATTGAACCAAGATATTCAAGGGGATGTAGATTCTATAATCGATTTCACAAAGCTTCAATTGCACATCACCTGTGGCACAAGTCGGTAGTCCAGCTCCTGCCAAACATGCTGTAGCATGTCTTGCATAACATTCTCCAGTACCTTTGAATGTGCATCATGTCCAAATCTGTTTTCCAGTTTGTGCATTTTTTTAATCTTCTTGAAAATGCATGTTGCACATTCTTGTTTAACGTCACACTTCAAGCTGAAAAAAAGAAAAAATTGACATTCAACTTAGTTTTTACACATTTTATTGAAATTTGAGAGAATTGGCTACAATATGATGTCAATTTTGGTTGGGACACACACACACACGCACACATATATATATATATATATATATATATATATATATATATATATAATGAATTTAGAATGAATAATACTTTGCAGTGCATTAGGTTACTACAATCAGAGTGCAGTATTGAGTGGACTGTGTGCAAAAGGAACATTCAAATTCTTTTCTTTTACTTTCCAGTGCATTGCTTACCAGGTTATTACAATCAAAGTGCATCATTGTGCAAACTCTGTGAAAAAGGAACATTCAAGTCTCAGTCTGGAAATACACCATGTAAAAGTTGTTCTAATCCAGCCTACACAACACCATTAACAGGCAGTACCAGTGACGTTAATTGTACTATAGGTAAGTACAATATAAATCTGTTTAATAACAATTTTATGCTCCAAGAGTTGCTTCTCCTTGCCTGCATAATTTACCATTCTTTTAAATTTATTTTTCTTTTAAAAAATTGCTTATTTTGGGTGTATGTCTTCCTATATTGTCATTTTGTGAGATTCTTCCCACTTTAAGTTACAACTTTGTTGTTCTACCACTATCAATGATCTTTGTCTCAGTCCACAGGCCAAATATAATATACAGTGTAACCCGGATATAAGAGAGTTGTCGGGACCGAAGAAGTCTCTTATATCCGGGTTTGGTCTATTTTGTTTAGTTAAGTATGGGCTCTAATTTGGGACCAGAGAAAATCTGTTATATCCGGGTTTCTCTTATATCCGGGTTACACTGTACCAAGAATTTCTTTATTCACTTTTTTGGTTCATACCAAATGAAAGAAAAGATTATTTTTTATACAAATAAAATCATTTGCTTTAACTTTAATTTAATCATTTCAAATTTAAATATTTTAAAGAACAATTAAAATTGGTGTTGGATCATCTTTATGGAAATTTAATTTCTTATATAGAGGATTCATTAACATTTCAGATTTATGGAAATAATGAAATAATACTACACTTAAATTCATAAAGTCTAGGTAACATAGTGAAGAGTTCATCCAAACAGTTACCCTGAAAGTATTTATAGTTAATGCACAGGGAAGCTACATTATAGAGTGGAGGGAAAAGTGACTGATATCGAGATGCCAGGTCAAGACCAATAATATTAATGATTTTTCTTTGGGTTTTTTTCAAGAATCTCTAAATATACAACAGGAACATGAGACCAGTTGTAGCAGCAGTATTCAAAGGATGGAAGACTAGTAGACTTATAAATATGCAAGATAGATTCTGGAGAGAAAATTGTCTAGCATGACGCAATGACCCAATTTTCTTAGCAGCAGACCTAGCAATAGATTCACTATAGTCTTTCCACTTCACATCAGCTGAGAACATTAGACCAAGCAAAAAAAAAAAAAAGAGAGAGAGAATCCTATTTGAAGGGTAAACAAAGGTGTAATGAATATGCCACATGTTAAAGAATATCTATTTCTAATTCCATGACTATTTGCTTCAACACTATCCAACTCTGTCCTCTTGTTGCTCTGAGTCTCATTCCACTTGTCAATCTTCTCCACCACATTGAGTTGAAGAGTTTATATGAAGAAGTCTTCAGAGAAGCTGGTTGAAACATCCTCAGGAACAAAAAAGGAAATTTATAAGAAAAATAAAGAAGGAATCAAACTTTCAGAACAGCCAACTGACTCTTGCTGAAAGAAACAGTAAAATTATTTCACCTCCCAAGTAAGGCAATAATGCCACCAAGACACACGGGGTTACTGTTGCTGAAAGAGAATAAGAAAACTTTAGTGAGGAGAAAGGATAATAAAAGAACAGGGTTCAGGAAGATAGAAGATGGCAATTGGTGATGCATTAATATTATTGAAGGTTGCAGAGAAGCAAGAAATTGCAAGGAAGTTGCACAGGCAAAAAGTGCACAAAAAGAAACTATTAGAAAAGAACAAATGGTTGCATCTTGATAGTTGAAAAGTAAATTGGTGAGACCTAATTGCCAATCTAGTAGCATGTTTAAATTCATGCAGCTAAGGCACTAAGTTAAAAAGCTCATCAGAACAATTATCATAAAATTTTAGAAAATACAGAAGGAAGCCATGTCATGTCAGTGAGAAAGTAACTGTAGTCGAGATGCCAGGTCATGATCGATTACATTACAGATCCTTCTTTGAATTTTGTCAATAATCTTGAGATATACAACAGGTGCACCAGACCAGATATGGTAGCAATATTCAATGCACAAATGGGAATGGTAGATTTATAAATGTGCAAAATGGATTCTGACAAGAAAAATTGTTTGGCACTTATGGCATTTTTCTTTCAGAAATTGTTGAACTATTTCTGTCTGAATTTCTGATGACGTTTTTGTATAAACATTTTTTTGTTCTTGATAATTATTTTTGGTGTTATTTCTCAAGAACAAAGAACAAAAATATGTTTAGGTTTTATTATGATTCTAATCATTGCTCTTTAAAATAATAAACATTATCAAGGAGTGAAGTTATAAATAAAAGGTATAAAAAAAAAAAAAAAAAGGTATACTTAAAATAATAGCAATGTCATGAGAAAAAATGTCCTTTTGACACTTCAGTTTTTTTGCAGGTACAAAGGTCCAAGTTTTCTGAATAAACATCTCTATCTATAAAAGGCAGGATGTGTGTGTGTGTGTGTGTGTGTGTAATGAATGCATGGCCGCAATTTTCAACGGATTTGCACCAAAATTTACATGCACATGCTCCAAGTTAGCAGGAAGGCCAAGATCGACTTTGCATTTCCCAACTCCTATCGACAGTGGAAATAATCGATTTTTTCATGCTTCTACAGCAGTTTTCATGTAGTTTGTGGCCATTTTATACTGGCCAGAGTGAGAGCCAATAGCTGGCTGCCACGAATAGGCAGGAAGATTCTATTGGCCAGCATGAGAGCCAACAGCTGACTAACACGAATGTTAACTAGCATGCTAGCATGCAAAAATAAATTGATAGCTGCATTCGTCACAAGTGGGAAAAATTTAAATCTGCATGGCACTTTACTCCAATTGGCTCATTCGCTTGCTTAAACTTAACGTTGATTCTAATTCCACAGAACTGGGTTGGGTGTGAAAAAGTATTTGTTGTTAACATTCTTTTTTTCATTTGGTTTTTCCAGTTATGAGTCCTTTTTTAAAGCTGATTGTTTTGTGTTCATTTTGTTTAGTTCTTTTTTCGTAACAGATTTAATGTTTAGTATAGAGCTTAGAAAAAATTTGCAGTGTGAGATAGGCAAGAAGTAAGGCATGTAGCAACATCAACACAACAAAGGGCAAGGAAGGGCCAAAATATTTTAAGTCAAGTGATAGCGATTGCTGTATGAGTTGTATGATTTTTGAATCAAGCATGGGCAACGCTGGACCATGTTGCTAGCAGTTCAATAAATAATCAAAATTATCTCTGTTCATTTTAACTCACCATTCCTGGTAAAGATGATCAAAGTAAATATCAATTGTTTGGAACCATAGTTCTGATGATGTTGATTTATGTTGCAAAGAGTATTTGTAATCATTTTCCTTTTTGCCAACGACAAAACAACTTTGCAGTTAGGCTTGACAGAGCAGAAGGAAGACAGGCTCTAGAAATGGGTTGTGATTTGTGAAAAGTCCCTTGAATTTTGTCAAATAAAATTAACTTTAATTTCTTTGCTGTGGTATAATGAATTTGTGAGTTAGAGAATAAGTGATGGTAGTTGGTTCAACAATTTTGGTCTCAAAATTGAAACAAAATTAATCTTAAAACTTGATAAAACATTAGGGTTTTTTTTGAATAATGGATCAAACCCCAGCTCAACTTACAGTATCTTGATAAGATAAACTTTTCAACAACCTCCACCACAATTCAACTCAATTGAGACAACAGATTGAGTTGACCAATGGTATCTTATCATAGTGGAGGGGTTTGATCCATTATCAAAAAACCCTAGATGTTTTCTAATCAATTCAATTTTGTTTCAACAGTCCAAAAATCATGTTGGTTAGAAATTGTTCTTTTTATTTACTAAGGTTCCCTAATACAAGGCAATTTATCTTCATTACTAAATGAGGTTGTTGTACTAGTATGGGGAGGAAAGTTTCATTTACAAGGATTTGTAAGATAGATAACTGTTATAGAACAGACTTCTCAATCCAGGATGCATCCTTTTGATTACTCTGTTCTTAATCTTCTGAGCAAAAAGCAAATGACAACGTTTATCTATCTTACATATTCTTGTAATATCCAACTTTCCCTCCTTCCTTGTATGCTCTTACATCCAAACATCTGCCATGATATTCAGACTGGCTATATTCCTTTTTAATGCCAGTCTTATACTAGCTGCATTATCAATTAGATTCCCTAAACCAATTAACCTTATCTTTTATTTTATTTTTAATATTTCACCCCAAGCAAGGCAATAAAGCCGCTAAGATGTAGCGTTTTACTGTGTTTACAGAATATAAGAAAAACAAAAACATTAAGGAGCAAGAACAATAAAAGAAGAGTAATTAAGAAGATAATGATTGACCTTGCATTTAAATTTTTGAAGGTCAAAGTTGATTGAAGAGCAAGAAGTCAGTTCTGCAAGCGAGAAGTGTGAAAAAAGAAACTGTTAGCACAGAATTTATGGTTGCATCTAGTCAACTCAACTTTAAAATGATTAGACTTTGCCATCAATCTGGTCAGTCTGACAATTAAGTGCCATACATGATACACATTTGGGCGATCATGTTTCTTTCAATTCATGACTGACTCTGTAGAAGTTTTTCCTGCAGTAAGTTCCATTTCTTTCTGTGGTAATCTGGTTGCCAACCAAGGCTATAGGACCCATTTTGTCTTGCTATTCAACCCAGAGCTAGTAGGGAGGAGAAATGAATTCATGCCTTTCCCAAGGGTATTTGAACATAAGTGAATGTAACAATTCCAACTGGAATTTGTACTTGACCAATCTAGTACTGTGCTTAAATTCATAAAGTCTAGGAAGAAAAGTCTCTAGTGGAAAGTTCTTCATAACAATTACCATAAAAGTATTTATGGAAAAGGCACGGGGAAGTTGCATTACAGTAGTGGGAAATAATTGAGTGAAGCTGAGATGCCAGGTTAGGACCAATGACACTGCAGATTGGAATTTTATCAAGGATCTCTAAATATATAGTAGGACAACCAGACAATATGTGGCAGAGGTCAAACTATAGTTTTCTCAGCATTTAATTTTCCATCTAGATTTTAAAACTCCCAGCCTATTTCTCTATTTTCTCAAGAATTAACTGCTCACAATGCGGACAGGAAGTATGAAGGATCACAGCAGGGACCCCTCATTTTGACCCCAAAGAAATCTTTGTTCAGCTTTTATCTATTTAGTTCCATCTACATTTTGTCTCATGGTCTTGTTTCTCCAACAGGTTGCTGAGGAATTTTAACTGCTTTGAACCCTCAAATTTTTCATATCTGAGACGACATCCAAATGTTTGGCTTCTTTGTTTTCAATGTCTTGTGAGACATTAACTTAGGTTCAAAATTCACTTTCTACAGGTCTTTTAGTTTAAAATAGTGAATAACATTTTAAGTAGAGAAAACAGACCCTAGTGTATTTCTATTATGCTAGTAAAATCCAAATTACTTAAATTGGCTTTCACATCAAGTTAACATATTCTATTCAGTGATCAGGTATCTATTCAATTACTTGTAAAATCCACAATGGTAGCCCTGTTACAGTTCCATATTGCATTTACAACATTGTCAGGCAAGAAAATAAATGGTCAACTCTTTGCCTTTATTAAAGCTTATTTTCTCTTTTTCAAATGAGCCAGTTGCTCATTGTAGCATTGTATAATAGCACTTTATCTGTGTTCCAGCATTTCAAATAAAGAATTCCCTTTGAATATCATGAAATACACGGCAAACTTTCCCTCTCCAATAGATTCCTGTCCTGGGTATGACGATAAAAATACATCCGCGTCCTGGGTAAGACAATAAAAATACATCTGACAGCAAGGCCTCTGATGAGGAGGTTTTGAAGAGTGTAGAACCACCTCTTAATTGCTGGTGTTCCCAGGTCCATCCTGACCTGGGGTGGTAGCACCTGTCAGGGTCCCAGTTATGGGCAAATAGTTAACTCTCCAAAAAGGGTCAAAACACTATGAAAGTATAAAAATAGATTTTAATACCAGCAATAAATTTTTTGGGGAAAACTTTTATCAGCAAAGAATTTTTGAAGGAAAAAAAAAATAAATAAATAAAAATTACCAGCAATAAAAATCTTGTCGCCATTGAGGTTTATATGCCATAAAATAAAACAAACCAAACCAAACCCAATATTTCTGAGATAAGGTAATATGTACATTATTTACATTATTCGGACTATTGTCCTCGTTTTTGTCGCCATAAGCAATAAAAGAAACTTAATTAATATGTATATTGCTTCCTATAGAGCTTTTTAGCATAAGTTTGAAAACTATTTAAAGAAAAAAAATGACCATTTCAGATTTATATACAGTAGAACTCACCAAATCTGAACATAGCATAATCTAGACTCCCTCAAATTTCAATTCATCTTCAAATCTGAACTTTTGTATTGACATAAAGCCTTTTCTTCCTCAAATCAGAACAGTACCCTCAATACCAAACATATTGGATGTTCAGTTTAGAGGAGTTATACTGTATATTCTTATTCTTGACTTCCTTTACAAATTGTAATTGTTTTTTTAAGATATTTCATAAATTTTTAAACATTTCATAAAGTATCTTAGTTTTTCACAAATTACAATATTTTTGATGTTTAGCACAAATTTTTCCATTACTATTGGTTGTCAATTATTTTTTGTACATTTATGTATTCAATCTACACATTAAATAAAAATGAATCAATGTTACAAACTACCTTTTGTATCCTAAACTTTAAAACTTTAAGCTTGCCACAGCAGCCGTTTCTTTCTTGAGTCCAAACAGTATCCTCAATACCAAACATCTCGGATGTTTGATTTAGAGAAGTTGTACTGTATTTACCCACAGTAATACACAACAAAGATTTTCAAAATTTACTATTAAATATATCAACATTGCCTGCTTCTCTTTTACTCCAAAGCTGTGATTTAAATTCTGAGGTTATTACCACTCTTACAAGACAGCAAATATTTTTATTTGAATAACAAAGTAGTTTAATTATAAAATCCATCAACAGAATAATTGATCACAAAATAAATACCAGATTAAAATGAATAACATAGTGTATTTTGAAAGTTTGATTTTTAAAGTACCATATGACATTTCATAATCTCTGTGAAGTAAGAACTAGTAATTTAGGCAAAATATAAGATGCATTCTGGTAGATGTAAATTAAAAAAAAGTTTTACATCCTATCTCCACGCGCACACACACATACTGAAATCAACAACTAGCTTTATATATATATATAGTGATTTTCCAAGCGTAGCTTGGATGTGGCACAAGGCCGAAAGTAAGTGGTGAGGATCGAACTCACTACTCATTCGTAATTGTTATAGCAAGATAAGCTTGCAAACCATTACACCACCTTGAGGTGCCCATATATATATATATATATATATATATATATATAAATAAAAAAAAAAAAAAAAAAAACAATTTTCTTAATTTCCAGCAGGTGTATACACAAAAATTGAGTTTTATATTTTTGATTAGAGATTATATTTTGGATTTAATGCAGATGGAATTTCTTATTGATCTTTCAGTGAATTGTCAACCCGGCTATAGATTCAATAATACGGCAGATGCATGCGTTGCTTGTCCATTTGGAACTTACCAAAATAAAATTGGTGAACATCCCTGCAAGACTTGTCCTGAAAATTTGTTAACTGCAACAGAAGGAGTTGGTAATATATCTGATTGTTCTGTTTGTAAGTACAAGTCTTCAATTTTCTTCTTGAAACAAAGTTTGGTATGAGGCATGGTGTCATTTAAAAAGAATGTCAAGTCATAGTACAAATCATGACCAGAACTGGGGGTCTATCTGGACATTCCACTGGGAAAAAAAAATTTGAGTTTCAGTTTGTGGTAGTTCACTGCTGTAGTTGGTTTAAGAATATTTTTTTTACATTTGGAATAACTTTAGTTAATTTAATTGAAGTATAAGATTTTTATTTTATTCCTTTTATGTTTTTATTGGAAAATCAAATTTTTTTGTGCAAAATTCACTAAAAAAATTGTCATTTAGGAAATTTGTTACATGGAAGTTAATTTATTATTCTTTTCTATGAAATTTTTATTCATGAAAGCAAATGCACTAATGATTGATTTTTGTAATTTGTATTTCAGTTTCTAAAAAAATGAAAAAAATTGTTGAATTTTTACCAAGCTTCATATAGCAAAATGTAACATTTGAATTTTACTTTATTTAAAAAACTGATTTATTAATCCGATTTTGTTCTAGTCTTTCTTATTACAAATATTACGAAGTCTCTCCCAAGATAATTTTAATGTTTTTTGTCTAATTCTTAACAGAATTTTCTTCTGAATACTTTTTTCTTTGATTCTATTTTTAAAACTGCAAAATTTATTTAAATATTCTTTTATTTGTTATATAAATTTAATATTTTTCTCTATTATTCATAGCAACAAATACATCTTACTTATTATAAAATGCAGATTGTGTGTGTGTGTGTGTGTGTGTGTGTGTCTGTAACGTTTATATATTGGATCGGATTTCCTACATTTTTCAACCGATTTCAACAAAACTTCACAGGACTACATAAAATTACCTTGCGGTGGTTCTGACAGCACCAAAAATGGGAAAAATACAATTGTTTTTGCATGAAATCAATTTGAAAACACGATTAAGAGACATCGTGTGAATGAAAGGAGGACAACTCACATCGGGTTAAAAACCCAGGTTGTTTGTGAGTGTGTGTTCCTTTATATATGGGATCGGATTTCCTACATTTCTCAGCCGATAAAACAAAAATTCACTTTTTTTTTTTTTTTTTTTTTTTTTTTTTTTGGCAGGTAGTGTTTCTTATTCTCTTGCACACTTTTTTCTTTATTTTTAATATTCAGAATGCTTTAAAAATTCCATTTACAAGACAATTGTTTATAATAAAATTCTATTCAATCGGGAGACTCATAACGATTGAAAACAATGTTTTTGTTTTTGTTTGGGTTTGACCAATTCGTAAAAAAAAAAAAAAAAATAAGACATTCATGTCCGTCAACCTTAAACAATAATCTAATGATCTCTACTGATTGTACGAATACAAACATCGGATAATTCTTTATCTTTAGGGAAAGATAATGAAATCTAAATATACACAAGTCCTCCTAACTAAAAATAATTACCGGAAACTACTTTAAATACACATGTATTTTACTGTATTCAATAAGTAAAAATCATAAATTGTAAAAGATTATTATTACAGAAAGGCTACTAAATGAATAAGATTTGTTAGATCATAATTAATAAACCCAAATAAAGTTGATATTTTTTGCATTAGAAACGACGAGTGGAAAATATATTCAAATCAGAATTCTAATTATGAATCACCACAAGCAAAATATGCAATTTTTTTTTACTGTATTCAATAAGTAAAAATCATAAATTGTAAAACTAAAAGATTACAGAAAGGCTACCTACATTTTTCAACCGATTTCAACAAAACTTCACTTTTTTTTTTTTTTTTTTTTTTTTTTTTTTTTTTTTGGCATGTAGTGTTTCTTATTGTCTTGCACACTTTTTTCTTTATTTTTACATTCAGAATGCTTTAAAAATTCCATTTACAAGACAATTGTTTATAATAAAATTCTATTCAATCGGTAGAGACTGAAAACAATGTTTTTGTTTGGGTTTGACCAATTCGTAAAAAAAAACAAAAAATAAAAAATAATTAAGACATGCGTGTCCGTCAACCTTAAACAATAATCTTTGTCAATTTTATTTTTCAGTCTTTATGATGGTGGATACTTGATCTATCTCTTACTGTTATATCCCCAGGCAACGCCGGGCTCTACTGCTAGTTTTTGATAAAATTTAATGTTTTAGTAGCAATTTGTTTTTCTTTCTAAAAGGTATTAAAAAAAGAAAGTTAAATTTTAGTTTACCATTTAAAAGAACATGAAAAAGAGTAAACATACTTATACTAATTAAATAATGAAAAATCATTTATTAAGAAAGTTAGTGAAAGTTAATGATATAATTAAATTAAGTAAATTCATTCCAATACTTTAGATATTGTAAACGAGGTGTTCAAAGCTTTAACCCTAACTTTGCTATTAAATGACGCCTTTTTAAGAGTCAATTTTTTTCTGCTTTTTTTTTAATCATAAAAAGTATATTAAACATTAAGGGTTAATGTTTTGAACACCTTATTTACAATATCTGAAATATTGTACTGAATTTACTTAATTATATCATTATCTTATTTTTTTCAATCAGTTTTCATGAAACTTAACAATTGTTTTATAAATGTATTCTCTTTTTTACATCCCTAATAGCACACTGAGAAATTGAATTTCAAAAACTCCAAAATACTTGTGGTCTTCATGTTGCCTGTTTTATCCCTTCATGTCCTTGGCTAACTTCGACTGAATAAATACAGACTACTTCTGTTATATCAGTAACTGCATTAATTCAAATGAAAGTACTTTAAAGTAATTGAAGAAGATAGACTGTTACATCTAAACATGTTGCTGTTTTTGCTCCATTCTAATTGAACACTTTTTCTGATCAACCAGCTGGGTATGGCTGCTAGTAAATAATATTTGGTTTTCAATAAAAACTTTAATCTGGCAACCCTCATTTTAAGCTGGATAATTAACTCAAAGATTAAAATGCATACCACATTTCATACACCCTTGTTAACTGGATGGTACTAAATTATATAAAATTGAAATAAGACTTTAGGAAAGAAAAATGTAGCAAGATAAAGAGAATTAATCTCTGTTTTTCTTTGAATTTCTTAAGCTGATGACAGCAGCAAACTGCCATAAACTAAAACTCTTTGCTCCCAGTTAAATGAAGAGATTTGAAATAGGCCTCCACTTCTGAACATGACTATTACTTAGCCTTTAATAAAGAAGGCCATGGCATAAGGTCAATTTCAAGGAACTCTCTGGACAACTTTTCTTTCACAATATATTATGCTTCTTGCAGGATTTTTGGTTTTTCAAATTGGTCAGTCAGCCTGAATGTAGATATTTTCGCAATCTATATATCCTTGCATATCGACAGTATTGCCTTTTATATATCTATATGACACACATTTTCTAAGCTTAGTTTATATATATTTGAATGTATGTATGTGATACATCTTATTTTTATACATTATGCAAATTATGTATGTGTGAAATTATGTACTAGTGTATGGGTTTTATTTTTACAATAAGGTTCACCCTGTACAAGGCCCAGGGGTGACACAATGTAGGTGGTTACATTAAGGGGTAGTTTATATAGATGGGTTGGGGAGTGAGATAAGAGTTAACTCTAGACTTAAACAGATTAAGATTGTAGTGATTGAGGAAACATCCTCTTGGGAGTCTGTTCCACAGAGCAACAGTACGCAGGAAGCTGTTTGAGTGGAACTTATTTCTCACTGATGAAATATGGAGGGTGGGTTGTTTGCTACTATGTAAGTAGCATAGTGGATCCTAGCTATGAAAATTAGACCAGGTGGACCCAAGGAATGTAGTTTGTTCAAGCATTTTCTATGGAAGTAGCAATAGAGCAGTGTGAGATTCACCATATCCTGCCTGTGATAGTGAGATTGGACACTTTTGAATGCCATCAAGACTGGAAAGTGAGGACTGGGCAGCTCCAGCCCAAATATAGCAACAGTACTCCATTTTCGGTCTGATCTGGCTCTTATAAAGGTAGATAAGGAGTCAAGTACTTACTGGAGTGGTAAAGAGAGCCGATCATTTTACCTGCATCTTTAGCAATAGATTTGTATATAAGAGTTCCACTTAAGTTCAGATGTGAGTTAAAGGCCCAATATTCTTTCATAGTATTGTGCTTCCACAAGGGGAATCCAATCATCTTAACTGGAGATAGTTCAGTGTTACTATAAAAGCCAGTATTTGTTTACTTGCCTTTATCTTATGGCTGACTAAATAGGTGGATACTGGCTGCAAGAAATTAGTCTGTATGAGTAAACTGAACCAACAATGAACATGGAGTAGTCTTCTAACCTCCCCATTCCTTAAATCGACCTAAGGTTATTAGCAAAGGTCAATTTCATATCAAAACTTCTATTTCCTGCAAAGGTGCCAAAAAGGGCATCTTTTTACATAACCCTGCATAATCCAGAAATGTCTAATATATATAATAAATTTAGAATAAGTAATACTTCTATAAGTTTTTTTCCCCCCCAGTGCATTGCCCAGTAGGTTACTACAATCAGAGTGCATCCTTGTGTGGACCATGTGCAAAAGGAACATTCAAGTCTCAATCTGGAAATACACCATGTAAAAGTTGTCCTAACCCAGCCTACACAACACCATTAACAGGCAGTACCAGTTCTGAAAATTGTACAGTAGGTAAGTAGAATATATCAAGATTTCATGCATAAAAAAATAAAAAAAAATTGTTATGACATCTCAAATAACAATTTAAACAAAAGTTATCAAAATTCAGATTTTATATTTATCAAATGTATCCTACTCTCTAAGAATTGAAGTCATTTCACTTGTGTATTAACCTGCAAAGTACTTTTACTAAAAATTATGCTATGGTATTCACTTTCAAATGTTCAAAATATTAATCATTCCAAGAGTTGAACTGATTCTTTTTGTTTAAGATACCTTCTATCATTTTGAGAAGAGTCATTATCATTGCAAGAGTTGTTCAGACTATTGATCTCATTCTTTTTGTTTAAGATACCTTCTATTATTTTGCTTTTTTTGTCCTTGATCTCCCTGCCACAACAAATCTGAATAATACCCACAAAAAATCTTTCTCCTATTTTGTGTATGTTCCCAAAAATTAAAACAATTTGAATCTTCTTAGACATAATTACTGTTTCTTGCATACATTAAATCGATAATTACCTGCTTTTGGCAAATCATGCTAGGCACCAAATATTAGTTTTCAACTTATATTCATCAGAAAACCCTGGTCTAGACCTCTTCTCTTATATTTCATTGGGGTGTTGAATCTGTTTTGGTCAGTAAAAATCTCCTCCAAAAAAAATCTAAATTGATTACCATATGAACTTTTTTTTTGTGTGTGTATTATATTATTTTAAGAACCGTATAAACTTGTGTATAAGCCTACTTTATATATCATGAGACTCTACAATTATTTTGTTAAATATGTGATTTTTTATATATATATATATATATATATAGCTTGTTTATTATGTGACCCCAGCTTCTGAGCAATACTGGGAATCACCCTGGACATATTTTATAGCAAATAAATGGTCTTAATTCTTTTTGGTTCAAAGCTACTCCAAAATTGTGAGAAAAAAAAATTTACCATAAAATATCTGTTATGAAGATTTAAATACTGCACTTGTGTTTTCATTTATGCCTAACTATATTGGCTCCTTTACAATGGGTCTACCTTTTACAGAGTCCAAGTAGTTTCTTCCCTTTTCTCACTACATGAAGAAAAAAAAAGCCCACATCCACTATGTATGCCATTTAAAATACATTATATAAATGAAGAATTGATTTTTTTTTTTTCTTATTTCAAATTTGCATTCATTTTCATTTCACAAGTGTTTACATCGCTGAGGTATTGCTTATCCAATGACAAATTTTTTGTCAGGATTACTAGTACATAATGCAGGCTGTCCATGAGTTGAGGTACTTCAAATTATGATAATTCTAGTCATTCTAAATGTACTCTCTACACACATTTATTTTAATCGGTATTATCGCAAGCAAAGCAATAAAGCCACTAAGACACAAGGTGATTAAAGGTTGTGAAAGAATTAGGAACAGAAACATTAATGAGCAGGGAGAGAAAAGAGTAATCAAAAGGACAATAGATAGAGATTGACATTGCATTTAAATTTTTGCAGATTGGAAATCATGGAGCTGGAAGGAAATTTCACAGGTGAGAAGTGAAAGAAAAGAAACTGTTACCAGAGAACATATGGCTACATCTAGCTAGCTTAACTGTAAATTGATGAGATCTCGATGCCAGGCTAGTACTGTGCTTTAAATTCATGGATTCTAGGTACCATAGTGAAGAGCTCATCTGGAAAATTAACATGAGTATTTATTTAAGTATTTATTAAAAAGGCAGAGAGGCAAGTGGATAAACGACTGAAGCTGAGCTTCTAGATCAGGATCAATAATATTGCTGATTCTTTTTTGGATCTTATCAAGAAACTCAAGGTAAACAGCAGGCATCGGACTATATGTGCAGCAATATTCTAAGCATGGATGAATGGTAGATATATATGTATATATGTAAAATAGATTCCAGAGAGAAAAATTATCTTGCATGACACAGTGAACTGACTTTCTTAGCAGCTGACCTAGCAATGGATTCAATATAGTCTTTCCACTTCATGTCAGCTGAGAATGTTAGCCTGAGAAAGCTCAATGAGTCACTTTCCTTGAGGTTAGAATCAGCCATACTGATGGAAGGCAGTGGGGTCTTGTAAATGATTAATGGAGAGAATTTAATTTTGGAGGTGTTAAAATTGACAAGCTATCTTTTGCCCCAGTTAACAATGGACTTGAGGTCGTTTTTTGATATTGGCTACCATTTTGACCTTGTTGGACTGATCAGCTTCACTATCGAGGCAGGAGTGTTGTGTCATCAGCATAAATCCCAAATTGAGAGCTGATGTCATCTGGAAGGTCATTGTTTCTCCTTACTTTATTTTGCTAGAAACTGAGGTTGTTTAAATGTATGCTGTTGTGTGGTACCAGAGCAGCAATCTGCTGCTTCTGACAAACTGGTCACCAAAAATGCAACCTTTTCAAACAAATGACCTGTGTATAGTGCGGCTCCCTATTTTTGGCATAAAATGCTTTCAGGGTATGATTATAAACTACATTCAATAGTAAGGCCTCTGATCAGAAGGTTTTGAGGAGCATAGAACCACCTCTTAATGGCTGGTGTATCCAGGTCCACCCTAACCCAGAGTGGTAGCACCTATTAGGGTCCCATCTATGGGCAAATAGTTGACCCACCACAAACTGGGATCAAAACAATATGAAAGTGTAGAAATAACTTTTAATACTAGTAATGCTTTTTTGTAAAAAAAAAAATTATTACTAACAATGAATTTTTGAAGGAACAAAATTATTACCAGCAATACATTTTTGAAAAATTATTACCAGAAAATGGAAACAAAAAGAAATGAAAATGACACTGAAATCTCATTTTAACTGATATATTTACCAAAATTACACAAAAATATCTTGAACTACTAAAGAGTAAATTTATTCAATAAAATCGCCATTGGCTTCAACCATGGCCTCTAGATGACTTTGGAATCTCCTGCAACTCTTCTGGATGGTCTCCTTGTTTAAATTGGTGAATGCTGCCATAATCATTGCCTTCACTTCATATTTGGTGCTACAAGGAGTTTTGTTGGTCTCTTGCTCAACTGCACCAACACATAATCAAGGGAATTGCAGTCTGGGATGTTAGGTGGCCAGATGTAAGGGGTGATGTGATCACAGAAATTGTCTGATAGCCATGAACCGAGTTCTCCTGTTTGTGTAGTGTTATAGAGTAGTTTCACAGTAGAGGCTTGTATTTCACTAAGTCAGTCCTAAAAAGGTTTGACATACAAAATGTTAGGAACTTGATATAATAGTTAATGACGCAGCAATCTAGTTGTGGTGGCTGATACTTTAATGTCCAACATCGACTGACTGACCAACTTGCTGAAATAGGAGTTGACATGCCGTTAAATCCAACATCCCCCCCCAACTCGCTGAGCTCTGCTACTACTACTACTACTTATTATAGGTGGAAGAGTCTATTAACAATAGAATAGGTATGTTCCAGTATAACATGTGGTCTTGCAGCAGCCGCCCTTTGACCCAGAGCAGCACTACCTCTTCAAGGCACTGGATGTAGAACTCAGTATTGAGCTTGAGGCCCTTGCCAACAAATTTGGGAAATCTTTTTTTATCAGAATAATCAAAGTGAGTTTTCCAAGCTGCTGTCTCTTCACAGTCATGTCTAGCTCTTTCTGAATCCTTTGCACTATCCTCAGATTGATGCCCAAACACTCTGAAATGTTCTTTTGGATCTTCTGGTGTGAATACCAAGCAGCACATCATGCCGTTTCCAAATATCTGGTGGAGTGAATTGCATCATGATACTCTTTTTCTCACGGTTGGTGCCCATATACTATTTTGTGCAATGGACAAAATCAAAACTAACAACGTGCATGCACAAAATTAAAAATATAAAATGACAATTTACCCATCGCACACTGTATACAAGGGGGTTAGTGGGTATGAAAAAATTAGAAAATAGAAGCAATATTGAGAAGCAAGAACAATAGAAAAGTAATCAAGAAGACACTAGATAACAATTGACACTGCATTTAAACTTTTGAAGATCAAACTCAACTGGAAAGCAAGAGACTGCGAGAGTCCCACAAGTGAGAAAAAAATTGTTAGCATATAATTTAGTTACACCTCGCCAGTTCAACTGTAAAATGATTGGACTTTGTTGCTTAACCTAGTACTGTGCTTAAATTCATAAAGTCTAGGTACCATAGGAACATCTACCATGAAAGTATTTATAGACAAAGCACCTTTACAGTGGTGAGAAAGTGACTGAAACCGAGACACCTGGTCAGGACCAATAATATTGCTGATTCTTTGGATTTTATCCCTAAATATATAGCAAAAGCACTGGAACACATGTGGCAGCAATATTCTAAACATTGACAAATCAAATGGTAGACTTAGATATGTAAGGTAGGTTCAGAAGAGAAAAACTGTCTAGCATGACATTGAACCAACTTTCAAAAGAAATAAACACAGTGTTATGATTTTATATTTTTTATATAGAGGCCAATCTGATACAGGATTTTCAGATATTTTACCAATATTTGCCTTAATTGTTTTTTTTGTTTTTTTGTTTTTCTGTTTTTTTCCAGTTAATTGCTCACCTGGTTATGAATTTGATGAGAATACAAATCAATGTATTAAGTGTGCTAAAGGAACATACCAACCAGACACTGGTAATACTACTTGCCTCTCTTGTAGAACCAACTTCACAACTTTTCGAAATGGATCTACAAAGCAATCTGACTGTCTGTTGCGTGAGTATAAAAGCCTTTAGGATTAGTTCTAGTTTCACTTTCAATATATATATTTTTTTCTTTTTTCCATCAGTTTTTCTTTTTTATTTGTTCTAACTCTCTTTCCTCCTTATTTGATCCCATTTTTCTTCCCTGACCCCTATTTACTTTGATTTAACTTTCATCACTTCCTTTCTTTTCTTTCACTTCATCTACTTTCCATTTTCTTCCTTTTAGTCTTTTTTTTCTTATTAGTTAAAGCAGACATAATTTCCTTTCTTTATATTTATTTATATATTATATTATATATATATATATATATATATATATATATATATAGTTCTTATTATTTTTACACACTGTTCAAAATCCTCAGAATCTGTTTATTCTTGAATTTTCTCTCATTTTCTGCAATGAAAATGAGTTCTTATTATTTTTATTTTTTTCGTCTGTTCATAAGTTTAAATTTAAATCCTCAGGTATGGAATATATTTTAAAATAACATTAAATCTCAGTAAGGGTTGATATGGACAAAAAAAAATATATGTACTAAAAATCTTGTTGGCATTATTTGAGGTCAATATGCCCTAAAAAAAATGCTAAATAGAAAAAAATGAGTTTAAATATTTTTTGATATGCCGAAAACAAAATAAACCAAACCAATCTAAACCAAAGTTTGAATTCATAAATTTTATCCTAAAAATTTGTGCATTCTTATACAAATATGGTTTGATAAGCCGTAAAACAAAATAAACCAAACCAATCTAAATTAAAATAACATTTCATAACCCATTGAAAATCTTGTTGATTAAATAACCCATTGAAATGAAAACAAACGAAATGAGCAATAAAAATCTTGTCGGCATTAAATAACCCACTGAGATTGATATGCCATAAAACAAAACAAACAAAATAAAAAAAAAAAAATGATTTTATTAATATTAAAACAATATCATGCGAAATCATTTAATGATGAAACATTTTTTCATGTCATTCTTTTTTTCTTTTAATTCAGCCTTGTGTGGACCTGGTGAAGAACCTAAATCTGATTTCAAGTCCTGTGTAAAATGTGATTTTGGTTATTACAAGCAATCTACAAGCAGTAAATTTTGTATTAAATGTGAAGCAGGCAAAACAACACTGAAGACCGGTTCTACACGTACCTCTCAGTGTGAGAAGAATATAGGTTAGTTAACATCTTCATTAAGATTATTTTACTGTCCTGGGTATGACAATAAACTACATCCATCAGCAAGGCCACTAATCAAGAGATTGGAGGTTTTCAGGAGTGTGGAACCACATCTTAATTGCTGCTGTTACAACATCCACTTTGACCTGGGGTGGTAGCACCTGTTAGGGTCCCAGCCATGGGCAAATAACGAACCCTCAAACAAAAATCAACAGTACATTTTTATATTAAATTTATCATGAAAATTTTTTTGTCATGAAATTACCAGAAATACATTTTTTTAAAACTACTAACAATACGTTTTTGTAAAAATTGCCAGCAATACATTTTATCATCTATAGTTGAAAAAAAAAAAACGTTTATCCAGAAAGTATAAAAACATGAAAAAAATTATGAATTTTGCATACCAAATGCCTTTAAAACTCAGTAAATTTAAAAATAAGTTGATGCAACAATAATGTTGTTCTACTGATGACTGAGGATGAATATGCAAATATTCAAATGTCTTTTTTTTAATTACCCAAATTAAATTCAAAAAAAAAAACATCCATTTTTGAAAATCCCATTCTGATAAAAAGTTTTCAGAATCTGTGTAGTTAAAAAAAAAAAAAACCATATTTTAAATCAGTTAATTTATATACCATGCTTTAATGTTATTTATATATATATATATATATATATATATATATATTTAACAAGTTTGTGTGAATGGTTGGCAGAACAAAGATGGAGATATATATACATTTGTATGGGCAAAATATATAAATATTGCCCATAATGGTATAAAAAGAAACCTAGCCTGACACAAGGTTTTTTTGAATAAAAACTTGTTGATCATATCATATATTACAGCAGATACTCTTGATTAGACAGAAAATATGTCCTTATCTGAACACTCATTGTAAATTAGATGCCCTTTATTTAGATATTTACAAAGTTTAACCTAATCTGACACACGGCTGCAATACAGCACATACATCATTGTAGATATTTATTTGGTGTATCACAATGGGTCTTTTCATTATAATTTAATGGGTTCAGTTCTCATATATAGTGTATTTGATATCACACAGATGTTAAAGTTTCATTTGTGCAAATATTAACCTTTTCTTTTATTGCAAGATATAACGTTGTTGAAAATGAATGACAAGGTGGATGAGTGGTTCTCTGTATCCTTGTTGAATTTTTATGCCTTTAAAACTCAAAAAAAATAAGTTACAAAATTCTGATGAAATAAACTAATGTCTTTAATTTAATTAAAATTAAATTCAAAGCTTTTTAGCTTCCATTTTTGACCATGTTTGGAAAAAAAAAAAATATTTTTCCTTTATATAATATATAGATATATATATATAAATAATGCTTATATTCAAATATTAAACATATAAAAATAAAAAATTCTGTATATTTTTTGATAATGGCTAAAAGGTATAATGTCCTGGACCAAAAGCTCTTGAAAATATAGTGTATTTGGACAGCAATTTTTTTTTGTAATTTTGTTGAAAATGCCCTTGAAAAGAAAAAAAAAGCAACACTGAATAAATCAACATGAACATGGTCACAGAAATTTTAAAAAAAAAATTCAAACCTAGATACACCTTTATATTCAGTTATTTTTCAAAAGTATAGCCAAAAGCTCTTGAAAACATTTGGGCATTTTATATATATATATATATATATATATATATAAAAAAATTCACACACACACACACACACAACATTTTTAACTATATATAAATAAGTTTGTGGTGGAGAATGCGTTATTCCAATGCCTTATTCCAAACTCAAATTGTGTGTTCATTTGTACATTAAATGGCACAGGCACATGTAAGTCACTCCTGCACAACATACATCTGCATATACACTATAGGCCAAATGTTTGGGGATCCTCTTTGGATTTAATAATTAGTAAGTTTTCATATCTACTTTGGTTCAATTAACTCCTACTGTACTGAGTCCAGACATGCATTCATTTTGGGAAACACACACACACACAGCTAAATGCCCTTCAACAATTAAGACTATGGAACAATGTTAGTGTTCATCTACAGATTTATTAACCACCAAGAAATGGTAAGACTGAAAAAAAGAATTAAGCAACACTGGGTCAAATATTACAGAAAGTCAACAAGTAAAATTTAATAAGTATAAATATGTACTAGGAGAGGGAAAAGGTTACTATTGTTACCAATGATTCTTGAAATACTGGAGATATTTAGAGGAATTTCTTGCTGCATTGGTAATAGTCCTTTCGGGTCCAAGCTGGAATTGGTTAGATGGAGACAGATCTAAAAGAATTTCCTTAAAAATAAGGAGTCACTAAAGGAGATAAATGATAGAACTATACTAATGCAGAACAGAACACCTACTACTTATTCTCTTTCACTCCTTGTCACTCCCCTCATCCCCCACTCCACCCCAGCGTCATAGTGGATTTATAGCCTTGCCCAGGATGAAATGATAAAAAAAAAATCCCTTGAGAGCTTCATCTAAAATAAAGTTAATATATTACTACAGTTTGTTTTTCTATTTCATATAAAAACTTTTTTTGTTTATTTTCCAGTAACCAATAATTCTGCCAGTGAGGCTGTTGTCGTCACCATCTCATTTGATTATTCGTTTTCCAACTGTGAAAGCAATAAGAATTTTTATAAAAATAAATTTAACATCATAATGATGCAGAGGTTGAAAGAAATGTCTAAAGTATGGGAGCTATGCAAAGGAATATGTCAAATTTCAATCACTATAAATTGCTTTTCATCCAATCGAAAGAAACGTGCAACCACAAACGGTCAGGCTCGAATTGAAATTCCAAATGCAAAGTAAGGAAAATTTGCTTTATCAAATATTTAACAGCACTATGTTTATTTTGAAAACACTTTATAAGAATTCAGAAAATAAGGTTTAGAAAAAAAAAATCCCTAGAAAGGCATAAATCCAACCTTTCCTGTTTCAATACTTATGTTGGCCACACTTATAGAAACAACTGAGTCTTCTTCACTATAAGTCGGCCCCACTGTTATAAAATAAATTGAAAAAAAGTTGATACTACATGGTTTTCACTATATGTCACTATTGAATAAACTGAGAAAGAAGTTGATGCTATGCAGTCTTCTTCACTATAAGTGTCACATGGTTTTCACTATATGTCACTATTGAATAAACTGAGAAAGAAGTTGATGCTATGCAGTCTTCTTCACTATATATCTTGACTATACGTCCAAAAGCCTCTGATGATTAAAATAGATTTTAATTGTAAACAAATTGGCAGTTAAAAGCAGAATAATACAAGGTTCCAAAAAGAATATAAAATAGAAAAAAATTACTCATATTCCTCTGAACAAACACAAAATTTTAATCATGTTCCAATTTCCCATTATCATTCACTATTCCTGCAATTGTCTACAATTATTTTGTTCTATTTTCCAACATCCACCTTTTGATAAAGTGTTGGCCGAAGGAGTTTCCTTCAAGATAAAATGATGTCTTCTCTATTTAAATCTATTTTCTTCTGTGGGTTTAAGTCTTTATTTGTGTGTATGTGTGTATCAAAAATACTTTTACGAAACAAAGACAAAAGTCCACATAGTCATAAATCCACCAATCCTTCATTTTTTGAGTTAAGATTAAAGAATGTTTATGGTAGATGGCACTGTGTTACCATGTAGACAACTAGAAAAGAATTTAGACTGGTAGCAAGGTCTCTTTTAGTTGAAATGGCTAAATATAACTGTAAATTCTATGCTAACAATTTCTTCTATTGCATATCGCTTGTGGAATTATCTTCTTGCTTGTTTCCCAGCCAATATTGATCTTTAAAAATTTAAATGCAATCTTAATCATTAACTTCTGTCTTAATCCCTGTTATTTTATGGATCTCTCTCCTTAATAAATTTTTTCATATACTTTCACACTCAGTAACCCTTTGCATCTTAGTGTTTAATTGGCTTGCTTGAGGTGAAATAATTTTTTAAAAAATGTTTAAGAAGACTACATATAATATGGTAGGCCTCAAATGCTGAGGTAAACTGCATGACAATTGAACCATATCAAGCATATCTTAGAATCTTCAAACATTTAAATGCAATGTCAATCATCATATTCTATCCCCTTAAATCCTGTTCTTTTATTGTCCTTGCCTTAATAATTTTTCCTAGATTCTTTAACTTTTAGTAATCCCTTGTGACAGTGGCTTTATTGCTTTGCTTGGAGTGAAATGATTTGGAAAAATAAAGAGAAAATAAACTGTCCTTACCAACAGTATCCCCCATCAGAGGAGCTTTAAGGATTCTCCTTTGTTGGTTGGTCGGACAAGTAATCCTGTACTGGTGAGCCCAGGAGGATATCAGCACTGATAAGAGTAAAGTAAATTATTCCTAGTACACCCCCCCTTTGCATCTTAGTGGCTTTATTGCCTTGCTTGGGGTAAAATGATTAAAAAGAAAAACAGTGGCATGAACCTGATCATAACTTTGCAATATTGCTTCCAAATCTTATCCTGCAGTTTGAAGAATTACCTTTTTTTTTCTTCTTTCTTTTCAGGCCTGATTCAGTTTTAAAAATCGGTAATCAATCAACAAAAGCCAAAAACGTATTCCTAGAGGATTGCAAAGTCAATTCCAATCAGTATCAGGTGGTAAGTAAATTGAAAACATTTCTGCTCACCTTAAGCAAGGAAAATAATATACACCATTATGTAATACTTGAATTGATTCGTTTTCATATTTTGAAAACAAACCATCACAAATCCTGGTTGTGAGTTCTTACTAGTGTCCTATCAGTTCCTAGCAGAAAATAACATCATGGGCATCTTTGCAATTTAGGAATAGAATACAAAGGAATTCATAGATTTGAATAATAGAGAAAAAAAAAGAATTCCTATTCTTTATAGTTTTAAATAGTGGCCTATCCATTACTAGCAGGACCCATGGAAATTCCATTGTGGGCATCTTTGCAATTTAGGAATAGAATACAAAGAAATTCATAGATTTGAATAATAGAGAAAAAAAAAGAAATCCTATTCTTTATAGTTTTAAATAATGGCCTATCCATTACTAGCAGGACCCATGGAAATTCCATTGTGGGCATCTTTGCAATTTAGGAATAGAATACAAAGAAATTCATAGATTTGAATAATAGAGAAAAAAAAAAAGAAATCCTATTCTTCATAGTTTTAAATAGTGGCCTATCCATTACTAGCAGGACCCATGGAAATTCCATTGTGGGCATCTTTGCAATTTAGGAATAGAATACAAAGAAATTCATAGATTTGAATAATAGAGAAAAAAAAGAAATCCTATTCTTTATAGTTTTAAATAGTGATTTATCCATTACTAGAAGGATTCATGGAAATTCCATTGTGGGCATCTTTGCAATTTAGGAATAGAATACAAAAGAAATTCATAGATTTGAATAATAGAGAAAAAAAAAAATCCTATTCTTTATAGTTTTAAATAGTGGCCTATCCATTACTAGCAGGACCCATGGAAATTCCATTGTGGGCATCTTTGCAATTTAGGAATAGAATACAAAGAAATTCATAGATTTGAATAATAGAGAAAAAAAAAATCCTATTCTTTATAGTTTTAAATAGTGGCCTATCCATTACTAGCAGGACCCATGGAAATTCCATTGTGGGCATCTTTGCAATTTAGGAATAGAATACAAAGAAATTCATAGATTTGAATAATAGAGAAAAAAAAAAATTCTATTCTTTTTATAGTTTTAAATAGTGGCCTATCCATTACTGGCAGGACCCATGGAAATTCCATTGTGGGCATCTTTGCAATTTAGGAATAGAATACAAAGAAATTCATAGATTTGAATAATAGAGAAAAAAAAAGAATTCCTATTCTTTATACTTTTAAATAGTGGCCTATCCATTACTAGCAGGACCCATGGAAATTCCATTGTGGGCATCTTTGCAATTTAGGAATAGAATACAAAGAAATTCATAGATTTGAATAATAGAAAAAAAAAAAGAAATCCTATTCTTTATAGTTTTAAATAGTGGCCTATCCATTACTAGCAGGACCCATGGAAATTCCATTGTGGGCATCTTTGCAATTTAGGAATAGAATACAAAGAAATTCATAGATTTGAATAATAGAGAAAAAAAAAGAATTCCTATTCTTTATAGTTTTAAATAGTGGCCTATCCATTACTAGCAGGACCCATGGAAATTCCATTGTGGGCATCTTTGCAATTTAGGAATAGAATACAAAGAAATTCATAGATTTGAATAATAGAGAAAAAAAAAGAAATCCTATTCTTTATAGTTTTAAATAGTGGCCTATCCATTACTAGCAGGACCCATGGAAATTCCATTGTGGGCATCTTTGCAATTTAGGAATAGAATACAAAGAAATTCATAGATTTGAATAATAGAGAAAAAAAAAGAAATCCTATTCTTTATACTTTTAAATAGTGGCCTATCCATTACTAGCAGGACCCATGGAAATTCCATTGTGGGCATCTTTCCAATTTAGGAATAGAATACAAAGGAATTCATAGATTTGAATAATAGAGAAAAAAAAAAAAAATTCTTTATAGTTTTAAATAGTGGCCTATCCATTACTAGCAGGACCCATGGAAATTCCATTGTGGGCATCTTTGCAATTTAGGAATAGAATACAAAGGAATTCATAGATTTGAATAATAGAGAAAAAAAAAAAATCCTATTCTTTATACTTTTAAATAGTGGCATATCCATTACTAGAATACAAAGAAATTCAGGACCCATGGAAATTCCATTGTGGGCATCTTTCCAATTTAGGAATAGAATACAAAGGAATTCATAGATTTGAATAATAGAGAAAAAAAAGAAATCCTATTCTTTATAGTTTTAAATAGTGGCCTATCCATTACTAGCAGGACCCATGGAAATTTCATTGTGGGCATCTTTGCAATTTAGGAATAGAATATAAAATACATATTTTGAATGTTTCAAATTCAGTTTATCATTCAGAAAATCCTTCATTATAATGGTCTTATGTAAAATCTTATCTGCCATGGCTGCCTGCTACACAATATTTAGTAAGTTGACTTGCAGAACTATTGCATGTGAGTTTTATCCTCACTGTGTGCTCTGTACATTTTGCCTTGTTTTGTCTGAATAAAAATTTCATATGAATGATAACATGGTTTCTATATCATTTATTTTATTTTTAGTCTGATGCTACACTGTCTGGCTGCTCTGTTGAAATTTCCTGTTCATTTGCACTGGAGGTTTCTGGAGTATGTGGTGAGTATCATTTCCAATATGCTGTATGATTTTCTTTTACTGATGTGCATTATTAATTTTTTTTTTTTTTTGTAAGTAAATAATTGTCAGTGGTCAAGTGTGAAGGCAAGCATTACTTATAGAATAGGACTATTATGTGACCCCCTCCAGTCAATCCTAGTCAACAATGACCAATAGTGTCACCCCATGAGTTGATCCTCATCAATGACCACCAGTAATGTAGCCCTATGCTCCACATTCCATCAGACCACCATGGTTACCATTTAACTGACTCCTAACTTGTTAATGCATGGTTCATTTGTTCCTGGTATCATAATGGTGGGCATAATTCCACTGGCGCTTGTCTGTTCATGACCATTCAATCCTCTGCCATGTTGTGTTGTTTTTTTTTTATTTTTTTATCTCAGAGTGTGAGGAGATCAGTGATGAAGCAAACTGAAGTGAAGATGGTTTGATAGCTGGGAACTATCCATAGAATTCTTTGGGATAAAGAATTTGGTTAAAAATGTAACAACGGTTTGATTTGTTGTATACAGTGGTATTAACCCTTCCCATTTCCTCTTTGGAGTCTGCAGCTTGTTTTATTAGTAACTTAAATGTCTAAGTTCTGGTCTTCATGCCAGCACATGGTCTTGGTCAAGAGGTGAACGATGTGGATTCCAGTAGCAGTAATGTATGGACTCTATAAGTTGTTTGAATCTTCAGCTTATGTGAAGTTCTGCATCTGGCAGGGTGGGGTTGGCCGGAGTCAGTTTGGTTGCCTTCCACTCTTAGAACTAATCTTTTTCTAAAATTCCATATTTCAAAAT